CGACGGTAGGGAGATGGTAGAGTCCTGTGAGTCCAAAGCTTTAGCTAGGGACTCCTTGAATCTCTTCCAGTTAGTGAAGGTTTTCGTGTGTGTTGGGGGGAGGTGGCTGATGGCCAAGAATGAGGGAGACCGGTCGGTGATCTGATCCTAGATCGTCTAGTGTCTCGATTGCTCTGAGGTTGAGAGAAACTCCTTGGAGTAACGCAAAATCTAACACATCGGGGGGCGTGATCGGTGTTATCGGGAAAGTGAGTAACACCGAGAGGACTATGGACGGTAATATCAAGAGACTGCGTGATATCGAGCAGTATCTTGCCACTAGGGGACGTAGTGCGGCATGTCCATTCAGTATGCTTGGAGTTAAAATCTCCAAACATAATGACTGAATTGCCTAAAGATAAAATGGCCTCAAAATCCTTTTTGAGGGGATAGGTTCCTGAAGGGATGTAACAGGAGGCTATGAGGATGGACTGATGTCCAGTCATAGCTAGCCTGCATACCGTGGCTTCCATGTTGGTAAGCTGCGGAGTAGAAATGGGCGAGCAATGAAGTGTCTTCTTGTAATAGATGGCCGTTCCGCCGCCTCGGCGTTCGGGTCTGTCGTTACGAAGAAGAGAGAAGTTTTTAATAGAAAGGCCTCTAGTGTCCTTAGCTTTGAGATTAGTTTCCTGTAGGAGGAGGAAATCGACTTCACGATTCCGAAGAAAGAGCTTGAGCTCTGGGAGGTTATTTCGCAAGCCGCGAATATTAAATGATACAAGCGATAAACCCTTAGGTTTGATACGACCGTGAGATCTTGGTAGGTTAATTCGCTCAGTCATTGAAGTTAAGTTAATTAAGTTAACCTAACTTACAACGCTAACAGAAGGTTATTGTGCTCCGCAAGAACGAGGAGACGTTCTTGGGGGGACTTGGCCGCGCGCAATTTGCGTGATACTACTGTTATTTCCCTAACATCGATATTCCTAATAGCGGAATATAGCGTGTTGTAGTCGTCGATTGTGGGCTCTGCTTCATGAGCGTACGAGGTTGTCCGCGGTGGGTCTGCCTTTTTGGGCCCCCAGGGAAAGACTGGAGGCTGCATTGGCTTGGAGAAGCCCGGAGGGGGCCGAATAATGCCCTGAGGGGGCTAGGGGGACCCTGAGAGGGTCGAGAGAAGCCCTGGGTGGGCTGAGAAAGGCCCTGACGGGGCCGTTGTTGGAGGGCCGGGAATGAGCGGTCATTCATCGGCGGTGGAGCTTGCCTACTGGGGCGAGGTTGAGGTGCGCGTGGGCAACCCTTGTAATTAGCCGGGTGTCCTGTCTGGTTGCACAGGACACAAGCGGGCGGGGATTCGGCGTCTTTGGGCCGGGGACACTCTTTCGTGTTATGTGGTTCTAGGCACTTAACGCACCTGGGTGGGGCGGAGCAGTTGGCCGCCGCGTGACCATAAAGTTGGCAGCGGTGGCACTGCGCCGGGAAACCGGGCCTATGTGGGGGCTCTACCTTCACCCTTGACAGGCCACACACTGTGCGTACCTGCCGGAAGATGGCTTTAGCCTCCGGCACGTTTGTTAGGATTACTAGGGCAAGGTTGTATCTCTTGCCCGTTCTGTTGTGCATTTTGTGTACGGCTTCGACGGGAAAGCCTTGGAACTTAAGGTCTTCAAGTATTTCCTCGTTCGAGAACTCGAAGGGGACGCCTCGGATGACGGCCCTGACTTTACGCTCTTCCGGGAGAGCGTAGGTGTGGTAGGAGACTTGTTCGGCTGTGAAAAGCCTGGTGAGTTTTCGGAAATCCTCGATCGAGCTGGGGATGATTTTGATAGCCTCCCCGAGGTTGACAGCATTGTCGTACTTAATTCCTGCGTCGTAGCAGGTTTTCGACAATTTGGTGAATTTGGCCTTGTCTCTTAGGAAGACAGGGGGCGGGACTTGCTTCTTAGCAAGGACTGGAGCACATCGAGAGGAAGGTTTAGATGGAGTTGGGATGTCAAGGGATATGAGCGGGATGGCGGCAGCGGCGGGGGCTGCGGAAGTTGGAGGAGCGGCAGGGGCCGCTGAGGTAGGCGGGGTGCGTTTTATCGCGGCGCGCTTTCCGTTGCGCTTGGAGTTGACGGCAGTGAATGTGGACTCCCCCGGTTCCGTCGGAGTCAGAGGACTCCGATGAACCGGAGCCTATAGTAGTTGCGCGCCTCTTCCGGGAGGACGGCGCCGAGGACTCGGAGCATGCGTACTCCATTTCTAGGGGGGCAGATTCGAGCGGGCCAAAAGAGTTCCTCGTTTCGAGGTAAGATGCGATTACCGGCGGCGGATGGTGTGCCTGAGGGGCAGGGAGGGAAGCCTGGGCGGCGATGGTGGCGATGGCGGCGAGGACCGTCTCATTGCCATTTAAACCGAATTGGTTAATGAGGGCGGCGAGGGACTCAGTGAAACTGGGTCTGGCCATTTTGGGTCAGTAAGCAAGCTGAGCTATGTAAAAATAAAGATGAGGACGGGTCCCTGTTCTCGGTAGAACAGGGACTAGATCGCGAGACGTACTACGACACACTATACACGTAATACAAGAATAACAAGAACACAAGAAAAAAAAGGAGACAGTACAAAAAAAAATTTTGAAAAATGATAATGAAAAATGAAAATGAAAATGAAAAATGAGAATGAAATGAAAAGTGAAAATAAAAAAATTAAATGAAAAGCAGAAGTCAGTCAGACCTCCCTGCCCGAAGACAGGGGGGCAAGAACTGTAGCGTAAAAGTGACTCACCGGCAGCCTCGACGCTGTTCCGCGTGAGCAGGACAGCGGAGGCGCGTGAGAGCGCGACAGCACTACCGTACTGTACGGGAGCGCGGACCACCTGGAGGCGACCGTCCGAGAACGATGCCGCCGGCGGACTGGCCCTGCTGCAATTATATTAGTAGTATATTTATAGCACGAATGGGTCGGTTCGACCGGGGAAGGACCACGCTCTCGCAGAATACCAGCGTCAAATAGTGGAGTGTAGAGAACAAGAGACCCTTTTTACCGAAAACGAGGCATTCCACCTAAGTCCTCACGGATGACAACGCATCCGCATTTTGATTCGTAATCGAGGATAGTTGTGCACGTCTATGGGCCACAGCAACCACTTACCATCAGATGGATTGTGTGCTCGTTTGTCATCCGTCCTATAAAAAAACCTGCTGCTAAGAACAGCGCCTGAACTTTTGTGAACGAAGGGCACGAACAGCCAGTATACTTTCAAGCTATGCAATTCGCTGCGCTGCTGAAATTATGGCGCTTGGTTTTCGGCTTCTTTGTGACTGTAGAACAAGTCATTGACACTCCTGACATAAGCACCATAAGTTGAGTTGTAGTTATGTTAGTAACATTAATAGTATTCCTTTAATAAACATGACAGATACGTATAGAATGTATTAATCGTTAAATCACCTGTCAGACATACTATGTTATACTAATACTATCCCATTTAAACCAGCGTTAAACACAAGTAGAAAGCAGGTGGTGGAAATTTTGTTTAAGGGGGAAAATTTCATCTTAGTCCCCAGAGATACAACGCATCTTCTTTGTTTGATATTGACTGCAGGTGTCCATCAATGTCCACAATATGTCAACTGAGTTCATTAGTCACTTCAGTGTTATTAAAAAAAATATTTGTTCTGGTCTTCAGTTTTGGAGAGTAAAAAGATGAAATGGGAATTTTTATCAGATTTTTGATACTGTTACCGTACACGCTTAAAAACAGTGTTTATTTATAAAATAAACAAAATATCAAAAGTGCTGAACATAGGCCTTCCCCCACACAGGAAAAGAGATTTTTGTGTAGTTCCTATAATTGGGGGTACCTTTAATTTTTTTATATAATATGTGTTATATTTTGAGAAATCAGAAGCCCCGGTGAAACTAATGCTAGGAAATTATATTAGTATTTGATCGATATCTAAGCCGTCTCCATGTAGTTCACTAGTCAGCATAGGTACCTCCTTACTGCATGTAATAAGTATTGTTTGTGAGTTGGTTCTCTGAATATAGATCGTTATGCTTTTGTAAAGATAGTTTGTGCTTTCGTATCTTCAAAAATAAACTTAAACTGTCCGTAAAAAACGCCGTTGCCAAAAGAGGATGAACAAGAAAAAGTATGATTTTGAATTATGATGTATTTCACACTTTATTTGTGTACTAAACCAGTCGAAGTAGAAAGATTTTTCCTTAAGTTTATACTTATTTATAAATCTCAATGTCATTTAACGGCGTTTAAGAGATCGATCTACAGATCTGACGTGTGAAAAAATAATCATCCTCAAATTCAACTGTCCCCAAAAGGTATCTTTTAAGACCGTGAAGTTAATGTTATTATTAGCGTTCAGATAACTGGCCGTTAACACATATGATTAATCATAAAATGTAACCTTGCTTTTATCGCATACCCTAGACATAGCAAAAATTACCGATTAGATAAGTGTAGATCACACCTTAAGTTGATTAATTTTAACACAGAGCTAAAAGGAAACAAAATAACTGGCCGTTAACACGCATAATTAACCAAAAAATTAAATCTTGCTTTTATGCATATAGACAAAACAAAAATTGTCGATTAGTTATACGTTACACCAATTATTGTTTAACTTTAACACAGATCTAAAAGGAAAGCATACTCGTACATGCGTACATTAATGAAGTGGAATGAGTTGACAGCGTCTGTCCTTCCATCTGATGTGGTTGTCTTTAAGGCAAGAGCTTAGGCTTTTGTTAAGCCAAGTCACTGTTCTTTACCATCACTTTCTATCAAGTGGGATAGTAATATATATCATAGTGGGATAATAGTCATGCACTTGATTACAATGGTTAAAAAGGACACCGTGGCAAAAATGTAACAATATTGAACTCTATAGTCTACTGCTGAACGAAGGTCCCAGTCCCCAACAGATTATCACGTTTTAATTCACGCTGCGTTCATATTCATAGTTCATAAACCACTTTGGGCATTTTACGTTTTGTCAAATCACTTCTAAATTTTTCAGGAAAAAGATATTCACATGTTCGACATAGAAGCTTTTGAGGCGTCTATAAAGGTGATATTTGAAAGACGTGTGATTGAAGTGTGACTTTAATTAGGGCTGCCAATTATACAAATGAAACCTATAAACAGTCCTATATTATGTTGTTCCTAAAATCATTTTTGTACAAAAAGTTAAAAACTGTTTTGATATGATAAGCTTTGTCATGAATTAGAATAGGCAATCAATTTGTAAAAGTTAATTGCGTTATATAAATGAATTTGGCAGCCCTACTTTCAAGTAATTTTTTTATTTTGTTTTGGTCTATTTAACTTATATTACGACTCTACTCATAACACAAATTTATTATTAATGAAAGAAGCGTTTTAAACCATTTGCGGATATTTTTAATTGGATAGATTAAGTTTCGCATGGAATTGAGTTGAAGTTACCTATGCTAAAATGGGCCTAACAAAAATATTATATTAAAGTTGTTAAAAATTTATTTTCTTATATATCCAATTTATATATTACGCTGATATAAGCAAATTAATTTTTAGCAACTTCCATATAATTGATTTCCGCAAAGTAACGCCTGATTCTATTAATTACCTTCAAAATATTGTTTTACTTCCGCTTCCTGTTTCATTTAGTATCATATAGTTCAATTACAACAAAATATTAATGATAATGATAAAAATGATACATTTTTTATTTCCAGGAGCTTCAAGATATGCAAAACAGGCGTCACCAGGACAATTTCATGCCATCACAGAAGACTGTAGTGCCCTTGAATCGATACGACGAGGCCGAGAAACTAGTGGCCAGAGCATTGTACGCTTTCAACGGACAAACGACGCGGGAATTAAGCTTTAAGAAAGGCGATCTGATTAATATTCGACGGCAAATCGACGCGAACTGGTACGAGGGCGAGGTGCACGGTAGAATTGGACTCTTCCCGTATAATTATGTTGAGGTATGCACTTAAAAAAACAATAAGACGATTCAGTGAGAACAACACAAAGAAAGATGCCCATTTTTCACCTCACTGTGCATAGAAATAAAATAAATCTTAAAATTCAGCTAATTGAATTGAAAATGAATTACGCTTATCATAATGTTAAAAGAAACGCAGGAAAAAATATTTTTAATATTTCTTTAGGCTTATTCTACGTCAAGGATAAACAAACATATTACTATATTTTGAACGCATCTCAACCACCCTTTTTAGGGTTCCGTAGTCAACTAGGAACCCTTATAGTTTCGCCATGTGTGTCTGTCCGTCTGTCCGTCCTCGCTTAATCTCTGTGACCGTTAGCACTAGAAAGCTGAAATTTGGTACCAATATGTGTATCAATCACGCCGACAAAGTGGTAAAATAAAAATTGGAAGAAAATGTTTTATTAGGGTAGCCCCCCCTATATGTAAAGTGGGAAGTGATTTTTTTTTTAATTTCAACCCTAACGTGTGATATATTGTTGGAAAGGTATTTAAAAATGAATAGGGGTTTACTAAGATCATTTTTTGATAATGTCAATAATTTCGGAAATAATCGCTCCAAAAGTAAAAAAAACAATGTGCCCCCCCCCCCCCTCTAACTTTTGAACCATAAGTTTAGAAAATATGAAAAAAATCTGAAAAGTAGAAATTTATAAGGACTTTCTAGGAAAATCATTTTGAACTTGGATGGAAAGTCGGAGCGCCTGCCGCGGAGCGTGCAATGTTGCACGCTCCATGTTCGCGCACGTACCCACTACCGGGAGCAGTTGCAGGAGCGCGGAGCGCTGCTGGAGCGCGAACATAATGGATACCCACCTTTAAACTCATAAGTGGGAACACTTATTGTGACGGACGGGAAACTACGGAACCCTACACTGAGCGTGACCCGACACGCTCTTGGCCGGTTTTTTTCTAGAACGTTCCATTTTACACACTGCTATTTTAGCTTATTCAGCTCCCTTTCTGAGTTTTATAAATTATTTTATGTTTTACTTAATCACTTAGTAATTCTTTATTTGTCTTTGTTGTAGTCGTAAGGAACTCCTCCTTACGACTTATGTCCTTACGACTTGTGTCCCGATGTACGTGTCTAAAGGTTCTAAACTTTAATTTTCATAGTGTTCATTATAATTTAATTTTTCGATTTTAATTGGATTAAGCTATGACATTTCGAAAGCTAAGTTTAATTACTAACGGCATAAATTAATACCTATCCTATCTATCTACCATTTACCATACTAGAGATTTATTTATTTGCATAATGCCTGTGTTTTACAGTCGTTATAGAAATATAGTAGATACAACACATTAACCATTTCTGGTGTTCATATATTTGTCATAAGTTCCATCCACACATTTGACGTTAAATTTCTATCTAGTAAATTTACATAGGCCATATTATATATAATAGAGTTATTTTTCAAAGAGTAGCCAAATTGTAAACTTAAGTTCAAATATATAAATAATGATATACCGTTATTGCAGTTTTTGAAAATACGAGTAAATAAGACTTCTACTTTCATTTGAAATTATTCCTAATTGAATGTAACTTGTGGGCAACAACGTTTTTGCTTACCGATCGACCCTTACAAATGTGTGCGTGTGCAGTAAAATCATTTAAAACTTAATACATTACTAAGCATTATGAATTTAAAAGATAAAAAGGACAGAATGTTTCAGACTTTTAATAAAATTTTCTTCACCATATGCTTATATTACTTATTCTGAATTTTCTCTGCAAGTTTGACTGGTTATTGCAAAATAATCCTGTATATAGGCAATTAGCGTATAGATAGAATATTAATTTTGGCCATAAAACATTTTTTATTCTTATAATTGTTTTTAAAGACCAACTAAATTTGAGAATGAGGTATCACTACTAGCTATTCTAAACTATATATTTGTAATATTACTAAACTTAAGTATGAAACTTGTATCAGAAAATTCCTCCTAAGTTATTTTGTTTCATCAAAAACTATACGTAACGAAACTTATACCAACATTCGGAACTGATAGTCATAAACAAATCACAAGGATTCCTCATATGACAACGTAATTCAAAATAAAACTTTAATAACGCCGTTATTACAAAAATATTTAATTATTTGCTGCTTCCTGATGATCTAGACGTTTTATATTCAGCATAGCTCCTTTTTCTTTTTCTTTATCAACCTATGAAAATCCACAGTTGGTCATAGGCCTCTCCCGCTGTAAGAAGGATTTGCCTTAATCGTCATGCTTCAAAGGGGAAATGACGATCACAGCACCGAAGATCTCGTACATTGCACGCTGCTACTCGACGCCGATCTAGGGATTTTACGTTTGACGTAAACGAGGTAGTATACCGCCTTCTACGGAAATTCATAAGATTCTTTCGGCATATCTTACGTCATCCACGGGACAAAATAATAAACACGCGACACAGTAAATCTGGCACTATTGCGAAGCGAACACATATCGGATAAGATTTAGTGAAAATCCAACAGTAAATCCTTATTGAAAGCGAAGATTGGGCCAAGTACCGTAGGTACCTTGAGAGAGGCTTATCTCCAACAGTGGACTTCACAGGCTCATGATGATGATGATGAAATTCGTAGTCACTACTTCACACGATCAAATAAAATTGACACATTAATAATATGTAAACATCATATTATTTCCATTACTTGTTATGGAATATCAATATTTTTACGATTTTGTCTCCAAACTGTGTGTGGTAAAAATGGAAACAATCGTTTAAAAAATCCGCCTGCACATAAAAGTTTACTGAAGAGAGAAACATTTTATATCCTATATAAGTTCCACAAATAAGACAACTCTAACGACCCCCTACCAACGACCCCCTTCCCCATATGTTAAAATCCATCAAACCGTTTAGTCTACAGAGCGTACCAAATAAATAGACATACTCATACATTCTCTCGATAAACATTATCCTCTCTCTGAGCCATTCGGGTAAAAAGTGGGCAATGTCGCTGACTTTTCAATCATTTATTTAGTATGAACTGCATACTATACAATCAAAATACTATAGAATTAATAAATCGTCGGACACGACAATTTATTAATTCTAATCATTACAGCCCCTTACAAGTCCACTGCTGAACATAGGCCTCCTCTAAGGAATGCTCCAAAGCACGGTCCTGAGTCACCTGCATCCATCGACTTCCTGCATGTCTTACCAGGTCGTCACTCCATCTAGTTAGCATAATATATAACTTCAATCTTCACCATTTAAATTCAATCGCCCTACACTTCGCCTACCGGTACCAGGCTGCCACTCGAGCGCCTTTCTTCCCCATCGGTTGTCGGTTTTATTAATTCGAAATACATTTAATTCTTTCACTAAATCATTATATACCAATTGCTGCTACCTGCTGATTTCTACAAATTTCTTTACATACAGGGCGCCGTACAATAGATAGTACTTACTAGAAATACCTTAGTTTGGAAAATAACATGTATTGTTTTCAATTGCAGATATTAAAAGGTGATTATGCCCACTCGCCTAAAAAGCCCATCATAATTGAAGGTCAAGCTCGGGCTAAGTTCGACTTTACAGCACAAACAAACCTAGAGCTGCCACTAAAGAAGGGTGAAATCGTGGTTCTGACGCGACGCATCGATCACAATTGGTGGGAGGGCAGGAACGGTACGAAGACTGGCATTTTCCCAGACAGTTATGTTACTGTACTGCAAGAGCCCAGTCAAACGAATCCTCGTAAGTATTTTTTTAAATACTACATAACTCCCCTTGTTAGACTCCACAGTATTAATATGTGACACTGATCTAACACTGATTTTGTTTAAAGTAACTAAGGAAACGCTGTTATTATTTATCTGCGCACTTTGTCAATGTGGTTCGAAGTTTATTTCACATAAGTGTGAACTTTATTTCGTATTTGCCTAAAAACAGTAACTGACGTAAATGAAAATACAACTGCTTGTATATTTGCTTAGATAGCTCTGTGATATGATTTATTTATATTTCTATTTTACTTTAAAAACAATGCACATGCTGGCTTACAGTATGCCCAAAATGTCAGCATGCTGGTTTACAAATTACAGTTTTAAATAATAAGTAATAATACAAGATACATGTCGAAAAGGTCAAATAAATTAAATAACACATGTCCAATAGATCAAATAAATAAAAAATAAACAAATTATAAATACGTGCCAAATAAATTAGATGTCGAATAGATTACATTTCAAATAGATTAACCAAATTTCATTGTCAAATTGATTATTTAATATCTTACAATATACCTATTTAATAACCTATAATGTCTCAAAATTGGATGTCAAAAATAGAAGGGCTACGTTACATAGTTGCCCAATGCTATCAGCAAATAAGTCAGCCTCGTAACGATAGTTCTTCATTAGTCAATCAAATAATAAAAGGTCAATAGGGCGCTGGTTTATCGATGCCATTTTTATAGTTGTCAGTGCAGTAAATATGGTCATTAAACGTGATTTTTCGAAGTGTTCCTAATTATTGCCGAAGCTTATTTACTTACAGTTTTTTCTTAATTTATTATTTATAGTATACGATTAGTTTTTGTCTCTGTTCTTCTCCTAGTTTTGATTTTATAGGGCGTAAAGCTTAAGATTGAGGCCATATTACCTATATTACCCCGCCTATCTTATACATGGAAGTTTTTGATTTCAGCACCTTTAAACCATGTAGTTTACCGTGTCGCGTGTGTAGTAGGCGACAGGGGGAAACAAACCAGGAGATGCGCAGCAGCGTCTTCCTAATAACGACTTAAAATAAATTGATTAAAACTACTTTTACGGATTTTATCGCGTTTTATTTATATTAATTTTAATTCCCGACGTTTCGGGTGCTTTCCAGCACCCATGGTCACGGGGGACTGAGGTGACTGACGTCCCGATGTTCACCGTCACACGTGCTTTCCAGCACCCGAAACGTCGGGTATTAAAATTAATATAAATAAAACGCGATAAAATCCGTAAAAGTAGTTTTAATCAATGTATAGTGTTCGCGTAAACATAAGAAATCATAATGACTTAAAATAAACTTGTGTACAGTCACACGCGGTAAAAGTGAAACCTTAACAAAACTTAAAAAAAACTGAACTAGGAAAGAATGAGACAGATGCAGAGTATTAGGAGTAGAATTTGTAGGGTTTATGTTACCAAGCTTAAAAAATAGTTTACATTTTATTATATATTTATATATATAGACATAATCTCCATACATAATAGGAAATGCTGTGTTGTATTCTATCTCATTCTCTTGTAGACTAAATCCTGTAGATGTTTATTTTTGTCTCCTTTTAGTGTCGCATTTCCGTTTCATCGAATTTCAAATACCAACGATTCTAAAAAACTTTCACTTCAAAACTGCGGTTGTCAACTCGCTCGCCAAGCGTGGAAACTATAGCAAATAGCGATAAGCGTCAAGACCTAGAAATGATCGTCCTAGCGTGGGGTCAAATTCAGGCATAGAACAACACGGGCCACTGGCGGACTGGAAGAGTAGCCATAGCGTTTTTTCCCGATAAAGAGCTGTCGTGGGGGGGGGGGGATGTGCGCTAACAAATACAATCGTTCCCTATGAGGCAATCTGTGGGAGAGGCCAATGTTCAGCAGTGGACTTTAATATGGTGTAACGGTAACGCTGTAACAGTAATGTTCCCGTCACAATAATAAATTATATGTATTTCCTCTTTTCATAAATACTTGATTTTTTTTCGTTAAATTTTCTCTGCAGTATATATTTGAATATATTAAATTAAAATTATTGTACATATATGTGTATATACAAATATATATAATCATCCTTTCACGGTAATATATTCATTAAATATTGTATATATTATTAATATAATATTTTTACAGTTATTATTTTTAATAATATTTATTTTCAGTTTATTTCATATTGCACGTTGCACCTATCCGTCAAATTAAAAACATAATAATGTTGTTTTATGTTCGGTTTGTTGTCAGGCAGAAATCACTTAAAGCGATATGACCACCGCTTGTAGTTATAAGTTTTCCTTTATTGTAATAACTTTGTTCTAATGCAATAAAGAGTTATCTATGTATGTAATGGATCAGGTGGCGGTGCGGCGGGCGCGGAGAAGCCGGGCGCGGCGCCGGCGGCGCACGGGCTGGTGAACGGCGCGGCGCAGCGCGCGCTGCAACGCCACAGCTACACGCCGCAGCACAACAGCCCCGCGCTGGCCAACGCGCCGCCCGCCACCGCGCCGCTGCCCGGTAATATTTGCGCCCTCCTTTCTGCCAAGGAGGGTTGCGTCCGTTTACAGCTTAAAGATCTCTCGTCAGATCGGTAAGCCAATCTCTAAAGGCGGTCTATAGTGGGTAAAAGTCTCCACATAACTACGCAGCCGGCTGCGTGGTATGCTATGAGCGTTCACCGCCTCCCTCCCCCGCTTTCCGGAGGGTTGCCCTTATTGCTGCGGCCGCAAAAAAGCCGGTAATATGTTTGAAGTTTATTGGACTTTACTTATTAACAATCATTTCATATATATGTTTATATTATATACGTGGTAAAGCCGCACAACTATATATACACACTATATTATGGTTGTAGCACTAATAGGTCGGCTTGACGGTGGAAGGACCACGCTCTCACAGATTACCAGCGTAAAATAACAATACTGTTGTTAAGTATGGTTAGTGTAGAGATCCGGAGACCCTTGTTTCTGGAAACGAGGCGTTCCATCTTAGTCCTCAGGGTGACAACGCATTTGCGTTTTGATTCTTAATCGAGGATAAATGCAGATGTATAAAAAATATAGCGTACACTATTGAAAATGCTTGGGTAGTAAAATTAAGTCGTCATTGTTTTCCTCTGCGCAACATACTCGCGCATTTCACCCTGTCTCTTACGTCTCTCTCTCTCTCTCTCTCTCTCTCTCTCTCTCTCTCTCTCTCTCTCTCTCTCTCTCTTTCTTAATATGTGGAAAGCGTGATGGACCTAGCATAACAACATGACCACTGTTTCTATAATTAGACAATAGAATTTTGGAGATAATTATAGAGTAAGTATAGGAGAATAGATTAGAATTTGAAACATTTAAATGAGGCAATAGATTATCTTACACAGCCACCACATGGAAAAGTGTAACAATATACATATAAATATGAAGTTAATTGTGGATCTTTCGAGCAGGATACGTGACGAAGCCGACGCAGTCGAGCCTCACTCCATCCGAACGTGGCTACGGGCCCCCGTCGAGCGCCGGGATAGACCTCAACAACGCGGAGCCACTTTACGTCGACACTAACGCTGAGGCCGTGCCGTGAGTTTAAAATATATATATATATATATATATATATAAAAATACCGAGTTGTCCTTAGTACCTCGCTACCATGCTATTAGTTCGAAACCATGTCGGAGCTAAAATTTAGCAAAAACATAAATTGCTGATTTTAGAATCTGGCAGTGTTGTATATTACTATCTTCGAACTACGATCCAACCGCATTAGCGTTACAAGCAGATAAAAGGGTGTAGTTTAAGAAGTAAATCATACTAAAATATTTATTTTACAAGTAATAATTTCTATACGGTGTAAAAACAAAACCTTTTCTATAAAAGGCTTACAGTCAAAAAGTATTTTAAAGTTTATTGTGTGAGCTATACGACTTGTAGTCCGGAATATAGGATGTACAAAGAAATGTAAAAAAAAAAACTAAACTAAAAACTAAAACTCAATAAAATTATCTTAACACCATAAGTATATGGTAGTATTTAGTCACATTGTGATATAAAAGTCTCGTATATGATGTCATATATTATAGATCTTAGTATTAAAATGGGTCTTGTATCCATCAACGCAATTTTTATACCTATTTAAAATATTAAAAATCACGGTGTCATAGTTGACACCGTAATTTTTGTGTGATGGACATATGTCGTAGCATAGCCCTCTCCATAACTCGTTAAGCGACCTTGAGCTGACCGTATGAGGAATCAAAACATGCTATGGGGAGGGCTATACTCGAAGTTTCTCTGCGTGATAGACTTAAAAATGAGGATATCCGAAGTATAACCACAGTAACCGACATAACACAACGGATGAGTAAGCTAAAGTGGCACTGGGCCGCCCATATAGCTCGAAGAACCGACAAGCGATGGGGAAGAAAGATTCTCGAGTGGCCTCTTACCAGTAGGGGAAGTGTAGGGCGACCGCACCAGAGGTAGTAACGACCTGTTAAGACATGTAGGAAGTCGATGAATGCATGTGGCTCATAACCGTGCTTTGTGGCATTCAGCTTGGCTCAATCAGCTTGGTGCAAGTTGTTCATGACGTGATATTAATTTAATTTGTTAATTTCTACTAATATAAATATAATAAATATATTTTGGCAGATATCGAGCGATGTACAAGTACCGTCCGCAGAATCCGGACGAACTCGAGCTCCAGGAGGGCGACACCGTGTACGTGCTGGAGAAGTGCGATGATGGCTGGTATGTCGGTTCCAGCCAGCGTACTGGACGTTTCGGAACTTTCCCAGGTATATAACTTCTTTATTTTTATATAAAACTAAAACAATATATAATATGATATTGATAATCATAATGTAAAGTCCGCGCGTTCTATGTTGGTCGGGCTGAAGTTAGCCGCGAGTGGCTGCGCAGATATAGTTTTTAGGAACAAAATGGTGACAAGAAGCGGGAACTTGTCACCATTTTGTTCCTAAAAACTATACCTGCGAACAGACATATCGCACAGTTACAATTACAATAATACTAAATCATCATTATTATCAATTATGATTCAATTTTATTTTATATATCTTATTTTATATCTCTTTTTTTTACATTGATGTAATCGTTTTAATTCAGTGATTATGATGATGTGCATTAAAATTTTTAAAGATTTAATTGAAAAATTTAAAGTTTTGATATTTCGGGGTTACTGTAAGAAAATGTCTTTCCAATATCATGTATTTACTATATGTAAATACAAACTTTTTATCATTATTCTTTAAATTATTGTTTAACTGAAATTCATAAAGATATTTTCATAATAAACTTAATTTTAAATTTATTCTATAATCGATATGTATTATTCTATAATCGAGATATGTTTTCCATAATCAATAAAGACAAAAAAAACTGTTTCCATAAGCAATTTTCATCGTCATCATCATTATAGCCCTTCACAACTCCACTGCTGAACATAATATTATAAATGTTAGTATTAAAAATGGGTTTTTATACATCAATACAATTTTTTTATGTTTAAAAATGACCCAAGACGAGAAACAGCTTTAAATGTCGATGCGATCGGTAACCATGGCGACATGTACTGTGTATGGTCCCCCCCCCCCGCCCCGCCCCCAATAAAAATCCTTTTAACGTGTGCAAAACTATCAGGAGTAAGAATCGAACGCAGTGTCACCATCACGAGCGTAATCACAGTAGCAAAAAACTTTAAATTTTATTGTGCGACAGCTTCTGCTAAGCATCAACTTCAAAATTATATAGTAGACTAGTTTGCTCTACTTTCCTTTACATTATACGACATTTTCCAGGTAATTACGTTGAGCGCATCTGATAGCGCCCACCGTCGCTGCTGCGTCGATTGCGTCGTGCGACGTTCTGCGCACGACGATCGCACTGACGCGCGCACACACGTACACACAGACACACACACACACACACACACACACACACACACACACACACACACACACACACACACACAAACACACTCACACAAATACAACAGTATAATTATGAACGACATAGTAACGTCAACTTCTAGTGTATTAACTGTATTATATTGATATATCACATGGACACTACGATTTATAGAGACACAAGGACGAAAATTTGTGTTATGTTGTATTGTTGTATCTGAATTGTAAATTAAAATTTAAAGGTCATTTCCTGTGTGTGTGAACAAGTCTAATGACCCATAAATAATAATACGGAAAATTTTCACAACAGCCTTTATATTCTGCGCCATGAAATATTAAAACGTTACTAGTATACGTCTCAAAGTGCGTTTCAACCTGTTTTTTTGACTAACATTTTGAAAATGTGTATTATTAATATGTTAACTTCTGTGTTTTAAGTATTTTCGACCACCCAGCTTGATAAATACGTCACACGACTATGTTCTGTATTATTTATTACGTAGAATATATCTCGCTGAGTGGTTTACGCTACTTACTACTTTATTGAATTCAGTAACGCTACACATTTTACATCGGTGTATTAGAGTAGGTCTTATAATATATTGTGTAAAGATTTTTATAACTGATATCGTCATGCATATAAAATGATGTTACCAAATGCAACCATGACTTTTTTAATAATATTTTATAAAGTGATTACCTATTGTGTAAGTTCAACCGCATTACCGTCATGTACAAATAGTGCCCCAATATTTTGCTTCCATTTTCTCTCAGCAATATGTAGCCATAAGTTTACATCTTTTATCTTTATCCTCCTATTTAATGTACAGTACTCTACTCAAATAATTTCTAAAGTGGCAAATATTATTAGTTCAACCAAACCAACAATTATCCAAAGTTATTTTATACGTCCCAAAGAATATGTTAATTGGATAATTACGACGTTGTATAATTGTAAAAAAATAAATAATAAAAATACTTATATAGGTAGGTACTTGTAAAGTTGTTTGGTAGAAGATAATTATTTATTTCATATTATGGTTGGAGCGGGGGTGGTGCTCCTCTTTTAAAAGTAACTTTTTAAAAGAGAGTAGCCGGGCGCGTGGTATACTGATTATAATTAATATTGATATTACCAACAAGTTCACGTTTAACTGATTCTATTGCCAATTCAACGTAAAGTTTTTTTTTGACTTTTGTAAGCCAGTGTTTGACTACCATCCCACCTAATGGTAAGAGATGATGCAGCCGAAGGTTAAGAGGAAGGAATTACAATTATATAATAGTATACTTTCATGTTGTTTAATATATATATAACATTTTGACAAAGTGCTGGCAATTTTTTCAAGATGGCGTATATTTGGTTGGCATTTCTTAAAAGCAATGAATTTAAAAAAGTAAAAAAATAATATACCTATATATAGAAACAATACAAGCTTGAAACAAGGTAATTTTGTATATATTACTTTATACACCACGAAAATACTTTAAAATACGTTCTTCTTCTTAATTTTTAGTTTCCGTTTAGTATTTCTACATAATCAAAGCATTTAATACGCATAAGTCGGCAAAGAATCAGTACCACGTGTCAACAAAAGTCATACTTTGGAACTAACCGTTTACGAATGACTACAAAGTTTTGACGTTTTGTGAGAATTGGCTTAGACACAGTATTATTTCGAGCTAACATATTTCGTAGAAACCGCATTAGTTCCTCAGCGATCAAGTTTCAGTTACCGCGCGGTGTAATCCCTTTGATTATCGCATAAACATTTCGCAATACTCACGGATAATAATATATTATATGATGGTATGAAACATAGATACGTCATAATTGTATCAATGGAATTAATCACCTTTTTATTACTTCTAACGTATTTTGTTGTTCTTCTGTCTATTTACATTATTAAATGCACAAAATTTTAATATTATAAATTCGTTGTGCTGTTATGACGTAGCTATATTAATATACCTGTGGATAGCTATGGAGCAGGTAGGGGCAGTAGGGCGAGTATAATCGGCAAAGTTTGACAATACAATTTATATGCTTAATTGAAATAAGATTTATATATTCGAATGTAACGATATTACGAGTGCTATAAATCTGAATAAACAGTACACAGTACAGTTACATCAGTGTTATACCCAAATCGTTCGTATGGACGACCTTAGTAATGTCTAGTCAGAGGTTTTGTATGAACATAGCAGTAAAATCCATTATAACTGACATACATGTAACACTAAGTATATTACCTTCGGCGTTTAAACCCCATAGATATGTGTTTTGTAAATGTTACCGTAGATTTGCTAAACCAAAGTTAAATATTTGTCTCGCCCTATGTATGCTTATTTTTGTGTAGAAATCAAAGTTTACCTATTATTATTTTAACAATTTGTTGTATTTACTTTTGTTAATTTATTTTTAGAAGCACAAATGTTTTATTTTGTTGTTGACACCTCGACATAAAAATTGTAACATTAGCAGGCTATTGTTTTAAATCATCACACATAATAAACATAATCTTTTTAATAAATCTTCGTTTTATTTGCTATCTCAATTTTGTCCAGACCAAGTTTTGGTCACGGCGGCCAGTCTCACTGGAGACCAGCCGCACAGGACAGGGTTAAAGTGCACAAGTGTGTGCGAAAGCATTCTATCCATTCTATTCCATCACTCACATATTTCGATGGGACGGCATTTCGAACGACGGAAGGGAGATGTGTGCTTTCAAATGCTCGGGGGTGAAAAACCGCTCACTTCATAACTCCAGGCTGTTACAGTGAATCTCTTCATAGAAAAACGCAAAACCTGATTTTGGGCCGCCCGGAAACGAATCTGGGTACACATGATCAGCAGTCACCCTTACGATGTCGACCACTAAGCTGACGAAGCTGTCAAACATAATCGAATCCAGGCCGGTTTCGGTTTGGGTTTTGACCGGTTTCGGTCAAATCAGAAAGTCTCAGAAACTGCACTGTCTATCCCTCACTGTCATAGTCCGATGTAACGAAAATCCGACAAGACTGGAGAGAGTTCAGGCTCATGATCAACAGCGCTTGGGATTCAAGCCTAGGACCACATGATTAGATCAAGGAGCCAGTCAAATTAAAAACAAAAATAGAATTATAATTTTACACTAAAGTTACTATATGATATCTGTCATAACAGATACGATAGTATAGAACTAGTTAAGATGATACAATACAGAGTACCATATAGGCCGTTGTGTCGCAGAGTTCGTACTAAATATACATTTTTTTACTAATAAATGTTGAACCAACGTAGGTAAAAGATCTACCCCCTACCCTACCCTATATATATATGTTGTTAAATTGTGAACGTATTTTAGATTAATAAATATTGTTTAAACTGTTTGTTGATCCTAATAAATTAAAAAAATATTTACAATAACAGCAATGTTATGATAATTAAATTAAATATAAGTCAAATTTTTTTATATAAAATATAAGTGACAAACGAGCACACAGTCCACCTGAAGATATATGGATGCTGTGCGTGGATGTGTTGTCACCCGTAGACTACATTTACCATAAGAAATAGCAGCATTAAACTACTATTTTACTCCGGCATTCTGTGAGAGCGTGATCCTTCCTCGGTCAAGGCCACCCATTCGTGCTACATATATAATATAGCATAGCTCTACCACAAAAAATTCAATCAAACAAATACGTTTTTATAGCAAATAGGTGAATAATGTACATAACAGGCAATAATATCCGCACAGAAAAATAATATAGTGATATTGCACCATATTAAAAACCCATGTAAGTGGGTACTTATTTAGCATATAATATGTAAGTATTAATATATGCTCGTTGATCTACTATTTATGCACACTTCTATTTACAGATCTCCTTCACCAAGGCATAGAATAAATAATATGTAGTACTACGTTACCAAGGTTTGCCTGGAAGAGATTACTGTTTAGCGATGAGGCCACCTAATTGTACTTAAATTTATAAATTAAGGTTGGTGTGTTATTGTAATACGTTGTGTTCAATAAAGAGTATAAATTAATTAATTAATACGTTATGATTTCTTATATTTACGCAAACACTACACAATTATTCAAACTACTTTTACGCATTTTATCGCATTTATTTCGTATTAAGGATTGTTATTGAAAGGTACTCCGGGTTTAACAATGACATCGGGATGTCACTCATCTCAGTCCCCCGTGACCATGTGTGCTGGAAAGCGCCCGAAACGCCGGGAATTAAAAATAAAAGTAATTAAAAGTAACATAAACGCGATAAAATCCGTAAAAGTAGTTTTAATCAATAATTAATACGTTACGGTTAATTCTGACTTATCAAATGAACATATTTTTGCTACTAAGCGAATTCTGTGCCTAACGCACGCAACTTGCAAGGTAACTCGTCGCGCATCGCGATTTAATAAATCGCTCGGAAGGAATAGGTAGGTAGTGTAAACAACAAATAAACCTGAAATACGATTCCTAAATGAAATGTGATTGTATTCTAATTAGTTAAAAATCTTGTAAACAAACATTTAATTTCAGTGCTCTGTGAAAACCTAATATTTTAATTACAAAAGACATGTAAGTTACCTACTTAGTGAAGTAAATTTCAACTAAGTTTTGAAATAAAGTACTTAGGTATTACTTCTGTATTTAAATTATTACTTAATTCTTTTTTTGCTATAAGTATTTATTTAACCAAAAATATTTAATAAATGTATCTTTCATTATCCTTAAGTAACATAAAAAATTATATTATCTGAATCCTTTTGTTTGTTTGTTTATTAAGCATCCATCCACGCAACAATTATTCGAGGTTTTGTCATTATAATTTATCAAATAGATAGGTAATAATATATGATTTTTAAACCACATTAAAAAAAATTGAACTATTTTATCCTACAATTAAATATACTAAACACTCAACAAAAATTACGACAAGTGTTTACAAAAACTATTCACATAAACAGCGTTAAAATTCATCAATCGTCTACAACGCGCTAGCCCCGCTTATGTATTACACCCTGGGTGAATCTCAATTTTAGGTCATTATTTCAGGCAGGTAGCAAGAATGACAGAGGCTTGATCACGTGTGTATTTTGCCGTAAAAACAGAAACGAAAGCACGAAAGACAAGAACATTTTGCATGTATATACATATATATATATATATATATATATATATATTATATATATATGCGTAAGTATCCTAAGTTTATCAATTACACTATGATGTTTACAATGATCTATGTATGGTTGCTTAGCAACGTAGCAAGAACAACAAATCCTCATTAATATTTTTAGTTCGATTGGATTATTAAATAACCAGTAAATCGAATAATTATTACCACATTATAACAACAACATGGCTGACACAGACTGGAGAAAAATATTAAGTTATTCTCAGAAGGAACTATTGCAGGCTGATAAAGATGAATTATGCGAAAATTTATCCTGGATGGAGGCCGACGATATTGAATTAAATTTTACTGACTTAAAAACCCTTTTTAGACTAGCACAAGACATCTTGAAATATAAAAGTGAACAGGTAGGTACATCTTAAACTATTCTTACGTACGAGTGAAAACAAAACACACAGATGGAATTACTAGCCTGAGAAAGTAACACAATAGATGTTTAATGTACCGACATAATTGAGTTCTGCATGTGCCACCCTCTTATCTTCTACCGTCAAGTAGAAGTACATTTATCATAATCACAAATACACACGCCTGTCACCCAAAGGGGTAGGCAGGGACTATAGACTTCCATTTGGCACGATCCTGACACACCTCTCTCGCCTCCTCCACATTCATATACCTACGTGTACATGCTCGTCGGTTAAGGGTACTCCTAATTTGGCCCATTTTCAATATATCGCCAATTTAGACGATAAACTTTCGCCTAGGACGTCCCTTTCCAACTCTTCCATTCACTACTGCAAGATCAATTTGCTTTGAGTGCATTTAATGCATTTAATTAAGCGCATTTAATGCTACGTTTTATCTGAAAGAGTACTAAAGATCCCTTATAATTACAGTCTGAGGACAGTGAAGACTGCCCATCTTAAGACTCTGAGCTGACAGCGCACCACTTTCTTGTTGAAATTCAGTTACAGGCATCGAGTAGGATTGCTCAAATATCCACGTACCACGAGGTGAAATATGAGCCCGGTTGTTACTTTAATGCTATAATTACTTGTGACCTTAAACTTATTCATCCGTTCCATTTTTTTTCTTTATAGAAGTAAGCAAAACGGCATACAATCCATTTAATGAATTAAAATATCAAATAAGAATCAAAATGAATAATAAGCGTTGTGCATAATGTTACTTACTACATAAAATACAGTTGCTAATTTACGCTGGAATCCTAAAGGAACATAGTTCTTTTCGGATCGATATGACCTAGTTGTTCTACCGCTTAAAAACTTCTTTAAAATAGAAAATTGAATATATATTTGATTCCTGGGAACTGAGATACTACGCCTATTTACTATTGCGACTATCTAGCGCTCATTTGTGAATGTTTGGTTATTTCCGGAACAGAAGCATTACTTTTTAAAGCCTTTTAATCAATTAAGTTATATTTCATACGTGGTTGAGCACATCATGGTTGTAGCACAAAGGACTCGTTTCGTATGGTGAGTGTAGATATCCGAAAACCTTTTTTTACTTAAAACGAGGCATACCATCTTAGTCCTCAGGGGTGACAACGCATCTGTGTTTTGATTCTTAATCGAGGATAAATATAGATGTCTATGGGCCACGGCATCCACTTACCATCAGTAAACTGTGTGTTTGTTTGTCACCCTTATTTTATAAAAAAATATATGTATTATTTATTACAGGTTAAGAATTTACTTGGAGAACTAGACACTATTCAAAGAAAAAGTAGTAAAAAGAAATCTCGAAATGAAAATAAGGGTAAGGCTTACTTAACTAGGTGTTTTCCTCGAGAACAATATTTAAATGATCCATGATAGTTTCCTTTCAATCATCTCTCCATACCAATATATTATAAAAATGTATTCGTAAGTTACTTTTTGAGTTCATGTTCGAGCAGCAGCTGTCTAATTTTACGTCTTATTTTTGGTTTTAAAATAAATTCGACATCTAACTGATTGCGTGTGGTTCATTTCTTTCTTTCTCTTTTGATGTGTAAATATTTATGTTGTAAATTCCAGCAACAAGTACTAAAAGTCCGCAAGAAACGATCGCACATCAAAAAGAAGTTATAAAAGCTAACAATGATGTTCTGGAGCAATTATATGCAGATATAGCTGTATTGGAAGAGCGTAAAAGTAAATATACAGAGGACAAAATTGAGTTAGACAGAGAGAGTGAATCTAGTCCAGATCCTTTGTCGGAAGTGGATGCAAAAGCACAACTTGAAAACGAAATACTTAAGAAAAACAGACATATCAGAAAATTATTTGGATATGTTAAGGTACGGTAAACAAAATTCGAGTTATCGTTCGCGACGTATCTAATATTGCTTTACAATATATACACGGACTACCGACGGATCGTAGGGAAGTAGCCATACCTAGGCGTTCACCTCTGTCAAATTATAAGTCTATAATTTGAAAGGTTTGAAATAACTATGCGGCTTAGAAAAGTCCACGTATATTTCCTGAAATAAACAGTGCTTATTTATTACATTTTTCTTCAAAACTTCAAAGTATAGGGTTCAAAATATATTAATAAGTAACTATTCTTTTTTCATATAATAGCACGAGGTTCGACACAAACATTTCACATTGTATAAACAAGTTTCAGATTCCTAATTAAATTTAACCATACAACTTATATTTGATATGTTTAGTTATTTTTTTATTAACGTATTACTATTTTGCGCCAAAAATTATTTATTTAAAAAGCTTTTAGTTTATTTAAAAAGCTGTCTAACAACACTTGGGGTTTTTAAGACGAATAAAACGTTACCTTAATTGTTGAAATCCATCCGGCCGTTTGGAAGATACGAGGTAATAAAGAAATTTACAAACATACTGAAATTCAATTCATTTCATCAAACAGTGGTAGAGCCACGCGGCAGCTTTGCTGTTGCACGTATGAGCCGGCTCAAACCGGGGTGGTACCACGACCTCACAGAATACCGGCGTGAAGTGGAAGCTCTGCTTCCGCGTTTCGTCTGGTGAGTGCAGGTGGCCGGAGGCCCAAATCCCCCCCTCCCCCATCAACATGGTAGAGGAATTAAATGATAATAGACTACCCCAGGAGGGTACCAGCACCACAGGAGAATCCCTCGCTGAGCATCCACGATCATTTTTCTCCACTTCTGAGCGTGGGTGCTCAGGCTGTCCCGCGTATTCTGGGGGGGGGGGGGGCAAAATTCCGCTCAAGACTACAACTGCTCGGGGCAAACGGAGCAACAAAACCAAGGCGACCCCTGCCAAGCTGTCCGTGAATTTCTGCAATATCAGGGGGACTTCACTCTAACCTAAACGCCGTCCACTACCATCTCGAGACGGCGAGGCCGGCTCTGCTCCAGGGTTGCCAACCGTACGAGGTTCCTCGTACAAATACGAGATTTGTGGTCTTCCGTACGAGGTACGAGGACACTATCAACCTCGTACAATTATGTACGAGATCTTGATAATATGGCTCTAACATTTTGCACCACTATTATAAAATAGTAAAAACTAGTACCATCTATCAGAACTTGAAGGAACTTCTTACACCAAAAATTTAATTGCCGCATTTACGCGATGATTGTCTATGGTAGCCTAAATCAGACTTGGCTGTATCGGCTCAGCTCCCTTTGCCTGTCCCAAATAGGGACGAAAGGAATAAAAAAAATTATGTAGCTCATAGACTTTGTATGTACCCGTCAACCGGGTAACGGAAATCCCTGACCAAAACATTTCGTTCTTCGCATTAGTCGTCTATGTCACACATAGCGCAACTTTCTCTGTTCTTTACGTGTTCCATTCGTTGCATGCCGGCCGTGTTTAGTTGTGCTACAATATTACGTGGAGCTAATTGAAGTTTTTGTAAAAAAAGAAGATTTTATTGTTAAATACCTAGTCTTTACGTTGTTTGGACCATTGTTTAGTGGTATAATAGAAGTATCGTAATGAGTGATAATGACGTAAACAGTGACCGTTCGCCTACTTTGACTCCGCCTAGAAAATTACCCAAAAAAGGTGCTTGGACAAGAAAAAAGGAAGGTAACGCATTATCGCAACATCGTGTACAAAATTTTAGACAGCAATGGTTAAACGACCCGACTTTTAAAGACTGGCTTTTGCCAGACACCAATGATTTAACAAAAGCTAAATGTGTATATTGCCCGGGAACATCAATGGTAGCTGAACTATCCAATTTAAAAACTCATGCCTCTACCAAGAAACACCTAGGCAACAAACCCGGATCCAGTGGAAAAACACAAACATTAACATCGCTTGGATTCCAAAGAGGTATAACTCCACAAAATAGAGAAAAAGCTCGTGCAGAAATTAAACTTTCTGCTTTTTTTGCGGAGCACAATATTGCATTCTCGGTTGCTGACCATTTGACAGATTTATTAAAAGAAGTGACGGATTCTAAATTAATCAAGGAAATTGAACTTAAACGAACCAAAATTACAGGTGTGATAAAGAACGTTCTCGGAGAAGGTCATAAGGCAGATTTAGCCCAAAAACTACAAAAAAATCAGTTTTCGGTGATGACGGACGAGACGACCGATGTTTCTACGGTCAAAACTGCTTGCGTTGTGGTACGCTATTTTGATCAAGAAGCTCAAAAGATATGTAGCGCATTTTGGGAGCTGTACAAAGTTTTTAAGGAAACACCTGATACTGTTGATATTCCTACTGCCAATGCCGAGAATTTATACAGAGCTCTTATTGATTCATTTACTAACCGTAATGTTTCATTAACAAATGTGATCGGCTTTGGCTCAGATGGGTGTAATGTCATGATGGGTGATAACGACTCAGTGAAAACAAGGTTACTACGCGATTTTCCAGGAATCATAATCACGAAGTGCGTTTGTCATTCGGCCCATTTGTGTGCCAGTGAAGCCTGTAAATAGCTGCCTGAAGGTGTAGAACAACTGGCTAGGGATATCTACAACTTTTTTAAACATAGTGATAAACGGCTATTTGATTTTCGTAACTTCCAGTCGTTTGCTGCAGTGGAGCCTCACAAAATACTGAAACCATCACAGACAAGATGGCTTTCCTTATTATCAGTGGTTGAAAGGATATTAGAGCAATGGGAAGCCCTACGTCTTTTTTTTATCGATTTTACGACAAATCGTGCACATAGAGCAAGAGCCGATGTAAGAAATCGAGCAGTATTTATTCTCGAAAAACTCAGCAACCCATTCTACAAACTTTATTTCTGTTTCCTTGAATGGTCGCTCCCTTTATTCAATAAGTTCAATCTGGAATTTCAAAGCGAGAAAGTAGTTGTTCACAATCTACATGAGAAAATTCGTACACTCTACCAGGAAATCCTATTGCGTTATTTACAACGCGAATATGTCATGAGGCCAAATCTTGGTGAAATAAACCCTGAAAGTCAGCTACATCAGCTCCATGACAATGCACTGTATCTTGGTGTCAAAGTGTATGAGCTCTTGAAACATCCAGATGTGATCAGACAGCCCACAGATATCGCTCAGTTCTTCTCATGCTGCAAAAATTTCTACAAAGTTGCAGCCATCGAAATTAAAAAACGATATAACATGGAAGATCCTGTCTTGTCAAAGCTACAAGTTTTTGAGCCTGCATCTGCACTCTCCTACAATTTTAGGAGCAATTTTCCTACACTTATGCCTCTTATGGAAGTGGTCCCCCGAATAATCGCAACAGCTGATCATGCAAAGAAACAAATAACCGACAATCAATGGAGGAGTTTGCCAAATGCACAAGCTCGTCATCCTAAAGGGTTGAATGAAATTAGTGAGCCAGATAAGTTTTGGGCTCAATTACTGAAAACTGAAGACTTTTCCGAGCTAGCTCATTTTGCCCTATCTACACTGTCCCTACCCCATGCGAATGCTGACTGCGAGCGGGTTTTTAGTAAAATCAATTTAATAAAGACAGAAATACGAAACCGGCTAACTGTGGAAACAGTGAACGGCACACTTCTTGCTGCAGAGAGCGCAAAGGGTTCAACTCGTACTGGAAACTGCGTCAATTTTGAGCCCACAAAAGAAATGTATAGTCGCATGACAAAAGATAAAATATACGGCAGAAAAAACGATGACAGTGAGGATGTTCCTGACATAATATTTGGAGAGGAGATGTAAACTAAGTTACCTTTACCTTTTTGTTACATTTTAATTGTCGTAATAATATAGCCACATTTAGTTTTTTTTTTGTGATTTTACTTGAGTAATAATAAAGGTTTTTTTAAATACTTATAAACTTGCAATAGTTTATTTCATTGAGAAAAAGTCCTAAATCCAGTAGTTCAATATACATTAATTTTGGTTTAGCACGTTTTCGATGCATAGTAAATGTACGAGGTTTGAAAGTCAAAATACGAGATTTTTAGCTGCCTAAGTACGAGGAAATATTTTTTACTGTTGGCAACCCTGCTCTGCTCTTTCTGACCGAGACGCAGGTGTTCTATCCGGCTGATGTCTCGTATCTCTCCTACCCGGGGTACAAACTGGAACACTCCTTTGTGCCTCGGGCTGGAGTTTGCGTTTACGTCAGAGAGGACATCTGTTCTCGACGCCTCGGCAGACTTGAAGGTTCGGACCTGTCCATCCTTTGGCTACGCATAGACAGCGACGACCATCCGCGCGTCTACGGGTGCCTATGTAGGTCCCATAGCGGTAATGCCGAAACAGACCGACTCTTCGACCACGTCCAAATGGCTACAGATTCGTTGCTACAGCAGATCCCCTCCGCAGAGATCGTGATCCTCGGCGACTTTAACGCCCATCACGCCGAATGGCTTAGTTCACGTTTAACCGATCGGTTATGCGGGGAAATCTGTTTATGATTTTGCCTTTGCGTATAGTCTGACACAACTGATTACTTCGCCTACGCGGACTCCAGATGTGGAGGATCATGCACCTTCCCTGTTGGACCTTCTGTTGACCTCTCACCCGGACGGATATCAGATTTCCGTTGACGCCCCTTTAGGCTCCTCGGACCATTGTCTTGTTCGGAGTGTGGTGCCACTCACGCTGAAATCGCAGTTTCAATCTGCAGGCTGCCGCCGTGTTTGGCACTATAGGTCAGCCGATTGGGATGGGATACGGTCTTTCTTTGCATCCTACCCTTGGGGGCGGGTTTGCTTCTCGCCGGACGATCCCAACGTTGTTGCGGATTCTGTCACTGATGTGGTACTTCAGGGTATGGAACTTTTTATTCCTTCCTCTGTGGTGCCCATTGGTGGCAAATCTCAGCCATGGTTTGGTCGCTCCTGTAAAATAACATCATGCTATAAGCAGGAGTGCTACCAAGCATGGGCTGACGCATCAGCGTCCCGGGATTTAAACACCAGCGCTCTAAAAAAGAAGTATAATTCCCCCTCTAGGTCCTTCAAAAGAGTCGTTGCCAAGGCAAAGTCAGAGCACATAGGCAGAATTGGCGAGAAACTAGTCCGCCTTCCTTCTGGAACCCGTGCATTCTGGTCTCTCGCCAAGGCTGTCCAGGGGAATTTCTGTCAGCCATCTTTTCCATCTCTGCACAGGGAGGACGACTCACTGGCCCATACCGCAAAGGAGAAAGCCGAGTGAGAAGAGTGAGTGCGCGCGCGTCGCTGTGTTAACATCGTATAACATTAGCTCCGGTTTAAAAATATTATTGTTTTTAAAGTTTATATTTCAACCTAAATGTTATGCATGTGAAATTGTAGAAATGAAACTGTAGACATTATATTTGAATAAAAGTGATATTTATAGACAAACATTACAGTGTGAGTAAAATAAGGACAACAGTGATAATTTTGCAAAACAGTGGACTTTGATATCAAACGTTGTTGCGAATCAAATATATTCTTTTATTTTATACCCACTTGTGTGACTTGCATAAAGTAATAGATTGTTTATTTGTTAAGACCTTTTGATTAGCTGTAAATATGAAATGCTTAGCATGTTCGAATTCTATTGAGAAGGGAGAATTATTGGGTTGTGTTGCGTGTAAAGGAACTTATCATTACAGATGTTTGAATATTACAACGGCGAAATTTATGGGCAATTTCCAACAAATCAAACGAACATGAAGTGCTTGACAACAAAAGACGACACAGAAATGATGACACCCCAATAAAAATAATTCGTGAAGAATCGTCACCCTCCGATTTAGTTGACATGTCCTGTGATAATATCTCGCAGATAGAGGATAGTAACGAACAGTTATCCCCGAATATGGAGCATCCTGGAGTGCCTAAGTTGAATACTTTTTCATTTTCTCTAGAAGAAATCAGTAAATTGCTGGATCAAAAATTAGAATCCAAACTACAAAGCGCACATGTTTGTCTAGCCACAGAAATCAAGCAAGAATTTCGTAACGTTTTAAAGAATTTAGAAAGTGATTTCAAGCAAATAACTGAATCTTTAACACAAGAAGTATGTAACTTAAAGCTTGAGGTCAAATGGAAAAAACTGTATTTTTCAACCTACCCACTTTACACAAGAGAGTGCTACATTAATTGATTTGGTAATGACGGACGCCGGTGTGACTAATACTAGTGTAAAATATACTCCTGAACTTGGTGGTCATGCTATCATATTAGTTAATTTTAAGATTAAACGACCTAAGGTAGCTCTAAGGCAGCAAATTATACGACCTATGAAAAATATCAATCTGTCCGATTTTGAGTCTGAAGTTGAATCCATAAATTGGGATAGCATTACTAGATACAATTGTGTGAATGATATGGTTTCTGTTTTCTCCAAATGCATTTTAGAGTTGCTTGATAAACATGCTCCAGAGAAACTAATAATTATGCGTAAGAAACAATTGCCATGGTTCACGAGTAATGTTAAGTACATTATGCAGCTCCGGGATAGCGCGCACAATAAATATCGTCACACAAAAACTGAGAGAGATAAAATTCAATATAAGACCCTTAAAAGTCTGGTAAACAGCACTCTCTATGCCGAGAAGAAGGCATATTTTGATTACCACATTAATCAACATTTACATAACACAAATGTTCTATGGAAAAATTTGAAGTCATTTGCGTTACCATCATTTAAAAGTTCGAATGAATTACCAGAATATTTTAGTGATCCCGACGAAATTAATCGTCACTTTTTGAGTATACCGGGAACAAACATCGCCTATTCACCTAATATAATTAATTTGGAAAGTATAAACCGTATATCTGATACTTTTAAGCTAATGGTTCATAAAATGTAGTTGCAAAAATCATAATGGGTATTAAGTCAAATGCTCAAGGCGTTGACCGCATTAAAATGGATATGATAATTCTAACGCTTCCGATAACTTTAAATGTTAACTACAATAATTAATAAATCCATTACAGAGTCTGTTTTCCCTTCTTCTTGGAAAATTGTGGTTATTCGTCCAATACCAAAAAAAAGTAACCCAACAAATGTAGGTGACCTAAGGCCCATTAGTATACTGCCTTATTTATCGAAAATACTTGAAAAGGTTGTTTACTCACAAGTTTTGAATTTCTGTGAAAAACATCAAATAATACCCAACCTACAATCAGGTTTTAGAAAAAATTACGGTACAGCAACAGCTCTGATTAATGTCGTGGATGATATGTTATCTTTTTCGGATTCTGGAGAAGGTACGATTCTCACTTTATTAGATTTTTCAAGGGACTTTGACTCAATTAACACAAATTTGCTGATTTGTAAGCTTTCATATTACGGCTTTGATAAAGAAACACTCAAGTGGTTCAAAAGCTATTTAATTGACCGTCATCAACAAGTAGTTTTAGACGGGCACAATGGTAAAAACTGTGTCTCGAAGCTTCTTCCTGTTGATAGAGGTGTTCCTCAAGGTTCCGTGTTAGGGCCTTTACTTTTTATCATTTACAGCGCTGATATAATAAACTGTCTCCAAAACTGTAAATACCATCTATACGACGATGATTTACAGGTATACTTACCCATAGATCGAAAAAATATTAATGCTTTAGTAAATAAGTTAAATCAGGATCTTCAACGTATTTGCGATTGGTCACAAAATAACTCTATGGTAATTAATCCTTCAAAGTCGAAATTCCTTATCATTGGCACTAAAAAGCAGGTACACGATATTGCTATAACTAAACCCGACATACGTGTTAATGGAGAGACAATTGCACAAGTTCAAGAAGCACGTAATTTAGGCATTCTTTTTGACAGCAATTTGAGGTTTGAAAACCACGTAACCAATTTGGTACGAAACTGCTTTTACAGGTTAAAAGTTCTATACAAATTTAGATAATTCATTTCAGTTAATTTATCTGTAAAACTTTGTGAAACTCTAGTTTTAGCTAAATTAAATTATTGTATAACGGTTTACGGACCTTGTTTGCTTAAGAAATCTCAAAAATTAATCCAGAGGGTACAGAATGCTTGTGCACGCTATTGTTTTTACATACCGAGACGATCTCATGTCACGTCATATCTTAATGCTTCGAATATGTTAAAAATGCAGGGGCGTCTCAAACTTTTTTATGCTTCTTTGCTATTCGGCGTAATAAATACTAAGAACCCAGAATATTTATACAAAAAACTTAACTGGAGAAATGACCAACATTTATATAAAATTCGACTATGCTCTAAAGTTTTATGCGTCCCTAAACACAAAACATCGGCTTTCCGCGGCAGTTTTAAGTTTATGGCAACTAAGTGTTGGAATGATCTCCCACCACCTCTACGCACTATGACAAGTAAAAACAGTTTTAAAAAGAATTATAGACGTCACTTACTAAGCGAACAATTACTGTGATAATAGTATTATTCTTACTAAATCACAGGGCCGTTTTATAAATAAAATAAATAAACATTGCCAGTAGGCGGTAGTAGATTTATAAGCTGAAATAAGTTAGGCTCAGTAAAATAAATATTAGTTGTATTGTTGCAATAATTACTAATAATATAAATTTTATGGAAAAATTTATGATAATTATTTTATTATAAATTATATTATTATATTATATATTTCTTAATTATTAATTTGAACTGGCTAATACTCGTAATACTCGTAATACTCGAAATAATACTCGTAATACTCGCAATACTCGCAAAAAAAACACGCTAATACTTAGGAAAACATAACATGTACTCTAATATGAACAGTTGTTAAATGTAATATAAGCAGGGATGCGCGCGTACTGTACTCTTCATTTGTTGGGCGCTGGCAGAATAACAGCGTTGTAGGCAACTGCAACATTTATGCTGAGCTAGAGCCCATTCATTACTACACTATGTAATTTTGGTTATTTCTGTGTATACTGCTCACTGTAACTATATTGGTGGTAATGAATAAATGTTTTATTATTATTATTATTATTATCTTCTAGGCTCTTTCTTTGCGTCCAACTCGACTCTCGATGACGGGGGGAGTACGCCGCCGACCATCCCGCGGTGTGAGTGCTCCATGCCGGAAGTGCAGTTCACACAGCGCTCGGTTCGTAAAGCAACTCCTCTCCCTGGACATCCACAAGTCGAGTGGGCCTGACGGAATCCCTCCAATTGTGCTGAGGACGTCTGCTCCAGAGTTGGCACCGGTTTTAACGCGTCTTTTCCGGTACTCCTACTCCCTAGGCGTAGTCCCAAAATCATGGAAGACGACTTTCGTCCACCCGATCTCTAAAAAAGGTGACCGCTCAGACCCGTCCAACTACCGGCCTGTCGCCATCACCTCCTTGTTCTGCAAAACAATGGAGTCCATTGTGAACTGCCAGCTCATGAGGTACCTTGAGGATCACCAGCTGATTAGTGACCGCCAATACGGTTTTCGGCGTGGTCGGTCAGCTGGTGATCTTCTGGTCTACCTAACTCACAGATGGGCGGAGGCGGTAGAGTCCAAGGGGGAGGCATTGGCCGTTAGTTTGGACATTGCGAAGGCCTTCGATCAGGTTTGGCACAAAGCGCTTCTTTCGAAGCTCCCTTCCTGTGGGCTTCCCGAGAAATTGTGCGATTGGATCACCAGCTTTCTTGCAGATCGGGGCATCAAGGTCGTTGTAGACGGTGCAAACTCCGATTGCAAGCCTATTAATGCTGGTGTTCCACAAGGCTGCGTGCTATCGCCAACGCTGTTTCTTCTGCATATCAATGATATGTTGCAAACCTGTAACATTAATTGCTATGCAGATGACAGCACTGGTGATGCTCTTTACACCGGCCGAGCCAATATTTCTCGGGAAAACGTCTCTGAGTGCCGGGACAAACTTGTGTCTGAAGTCGAGTCGTTGCTGAACAGAGTCTTGGATTGGGGGCGACTAAATCTAGTCCAGTTTAACCCCCAGAAGACACAAGTTTGCGCGTTAACCGCTAAAAAGAACCCCTTTGTCGTATCTCCTCAGTTTCAAGGCACTCCCCTTGTTGCCTCAGCCAGTATCGGAATCCTCGGCGTCGACATATCGAGTGACGTGCAGTTTCGTGGTCACTTGGAAGAGAAGGCCAAATTGGCCTCTAAAAAGCTTGGCGTGCTCAGCAGAGCGGGACAGTATTTCATGCCGGCACACCGCCTGCAACTTTACAAGGCGCAGGTTCGGCCGCACATGGAATACTGTTCCCATCTCCGGGCTGGGGCTCCCCAGTACCAGCTCCTTCCACTTGACCGCATCCAGCGCAGAGCGGCTCGAATCGTCGACAACCGAGTGTTTTCCGATCGGCTCGATTCACTGGCACTGCGAAGAGATATTGCATCTCTTTGCATTTTCTTTCGCATATACCATGGAGAGTACTCTGAGGAATTGTTCGGATTAATCCCAGCCGCCAAATTTCGTGAACGCACTACGCGGCAAACGTCGCGATACCATCCACATCATCTGGATGCTTGGCGGTCCACCACTGTACGTTTCCAGAGCGATTTTACCACCAGCGATTTTTCCGGACCGATACGACCTGGGGACCTTCAAGAAAAGAGCGTACTCCTTTCTAAAGGGCCGGCAACGCACCTGCAATTCCCCTGGTGTTGCGGTTGATCATGGACGGCGGTAGTCACTTAACATCAGGTGAGCCGCATGCTCGTTTGCCCCCTCTTCCATAAAAAAAAATTTAAACATACCACTTATATATATATATATATATATATATATATATATATATATATATATATATATATATATATATATATATATATATATATATATATATATATATATATATATATATCCTTTTAATTTTTACTTTTCGACTACTTTTTGATATCCTATTCGATAGGTTTTTATTTTTTTTTAAAGCTGTCTAAGAACACTTTGGTTATTAAGACAAATAAAACTACATTAATTGTCGAAATCCATCCAGCCGTTTGGATGGTACGAGGTAATAAAGAAATTTACAAAATTACAAGATCGCGCGAAAGCCATAACCCTTATTTGGAAGTCAGGTAATAAAGGCTATACCTTTCCGCTAGTGGCCTGTGGTGCTCTATTGGGTATGTCTTATTTGAGAGAAGCCTTGCCTTAATTATTACGCTTGGAAGGTGCATTGACGATCGCCGTAACAAACGAGTCGCACCCATGATGCTACTTTCCGTCGTTTGTCCGGGTGTAAAACGCTTAAACTATATTGTCATCTATTAGAAGCAATAAGATCTTTTAGATATTTCCCATAATGACCTCTCATTGCACTCATGGGTCTAAACGGGTTAATGGATTCACTAAAACAGACAAAAAACAGTTTTTTTCTTCATTCAGATTTCTTACTCTTACGTCTTAGAAACTGATTGTCTTTACTGGATACTTTAGGTTTTCAAATTTTTTAAATTAATATGATATAATTTGTCGGACTCCATAAGCTATGACTTAATGGTATTTTGCCCAAGAGTTTAAATAAAGTTACTGGTTTTAATCACATCGTTATTACACGGCAGGATTGTCTCGCATTAATAATATTAAATTTAGATTTTAGAGGATGAAAACTCCAAGTTTAAGGAAAAAATATCAATACTCAAAGACAAATTGAAAGAAGCAACAAAGATTATTGAAGATCTGACTGAACAAATGCTTATAATAAATGACGAGTGCGGCCGTTTAAAAGGTACAAACATTTACCTTACAATATCGTTTTATAATTTAAGCTCTTATATTTGTCTTTTAATTATCTTTCCTTCAGAGTCTCTTGGTGTTACGGAACAAGTAAAATCTGAGCTTTTGGAGGAAGTAGAATACTTAAAAGAAGAAATATTTTCAAAAAAGAATCATAAAGAAAATGTCTTGGAAGAGATGAAGGCAAAAATTAAACATCTAAAGGTGTAACCATTTAATCTTGCTAACATTCAATATATTTGATTGATTTCTAGAGCATTTTATTTCATGATTTTTTTTTTCAATTGCTTTTTTATATTTCAGAATGTAATAAGTACTCAAAACAAAGAAATAGAACAAATATCCGAAGAAAATAATAAACTAAAGAATGATCTTATCCAAGTACCTTCCCTTGCTCCTGTTCTTCTAGAAGAAAAAGTAATTTTATTTTTATACTTATATTTAAAAAAAAACATATTTAGCTTCTCTGCACGGAGTCAAATAAACACCTACTCAAGAACTGTTTTATTAAGAAATTATTAAATAATGTTTCACTTTATAACGTTGCTCTGTTTCAGAGTTAAAAAAAGGTATATATTCGACCACGTAATAAAAATGTCAGTAAATTTGACAGCTATCTTTGTGAATTTGGTCAGGCTTTAATTACAAATAAAGCTTAATTTTAAATGTATGTGAAGCATAGTTTTTCAGGAAATTAGCTTTAAAATACAAAAGAGTTGAAATGTTCTGATGATCTTTTCTTGATAATAGATATTAGTTAAGTCATTGCTGCTCCATTCTTATTTATTTCTAAATTTATAGGAAAATAATTTGGAAAAGTTAAGGATAAGAGAATTAGGCGAAAAACTTGCAGAAGCTTCGAATGAAATAATACGTTCAGCTTCTTTAATAGATGTTTTAAAAGCCGAAAACAAGCAGCTAAAAACTATTATTGAAGAAACTATCGACGTAAACGACGACTCTAATGTTACAAATGAATGTGACGATGGCAAAGAACGTAATATGATAAATAAATTAAAAATGAAAGTTAAAAAATTGACAGATGAACTTCATCATTGTGAGGAGATGTTGATTATCAGAGAAAATAAGGTACCTTTGTTTAAAAATATTTAAAGTTTTGCTATTATATATTTATAATAAATAAGTGAATAATCGCATTGCATCAATATGTGGATTAAAAATTGAGTTGCCTTTTATTCTAATAAAGTATGTTGTTTTCGTTTCTTTTTTTTTAATTTAAGATATCGGAGTTGTCATCGCAACTCAATCTTTTGAAATCCGACGAAGGTGTTAATGCTTTACTAACTGCTATTAAAAACAAAAAACAAGAACTCAAAATCAAAGATGAAGGTATAAAATCTTTAGTAAAGGATGTAAATAAATTAAATAAAGTTGTAAATGATCTGCAGATGGAAAATGAATCCATGAGGTAAGCTACGAAATTTTCTAATAGACATCTCTACATAAAATCGTTTTTGGGTTTTGGTGATCGTGTAACTTCTGAACGACTTGGCCAATTGAGTTTACGATTACAATATATATATATACAAAATACATATAGGCATTTTTAATCAAAACGTCAGTTCATGGCTATGCTCAGATTCGATTTGTGTAGTGAAGTTATAAACAAAATCTTTACTAAAAATTAACGAGTCACTAATATTTGCAATCTATAACATATATTATATATTAAATAAAGAAATCACAAAATCTGTACACGACAGGTGATCGACGATGTGGACTTGTTATAAATAATATTTTATATTTACGGTTGAAAAAAAAATACGGAGTGAATTAATATCAAATATCTGAAAATAAGTTTTGTGACAGTTGACATACACTGACGGACAAAAATATGTTATGTATAAAATTTTGTTATGAAACTCTTATGATATTGTTAGTACGAAGTCCGCCCAAGCAAAGCTGTAGGCGACAGCTAGTTATTTAATAAAATTATATTTTAGTACATTATTTCATGTTAGACTGATTTATTTTAGACGAGAGCTGAATATTACCTCGGAGGATAAAATTCCAACACAGGGAATTATGCATGAATACTATATTTTAAATCAAGAGAAAATGGCTTTGACTAAGGAACTTGCAAAACTGGAAAATCAACTTGTTGAAACAGAAATGGACAATCGAGAAAAAGATGTGAAAATATCTAAATACGTGAAATTGTTAGACAACTTTGGATTTAGCAACTTGAAAGCCGATAAAATGATCGGACATGAAAATGGCGATCGTAATGAGGTTGAACGGTATTTACCTACTTTTTTATTAAGCTGTTTATTGTGAAGTATCTATATAAAGATTTAGATAAACTTTGTTATTACAGAATAAACAATACCATCCAATCATCTGATTACACAAATCAAGAATTAGACGTTCAAATTCTACTTGAAGAAAATGAGGGTCTACGTAAAGGACTTCAAGAAATTTTACATTTTCTTAAAGACAACAGTATGTATTTAAATTAAATAAACCTAAGATTTTCAAAAGTCTTCTACTGAACAAAGGCCTTCCACAAAGAACGCCACAAAGCACGGTCCTGAGTCATCCGTATCTATCGATTTCCTGCAGCTCTTCTCAGGTCGTTGCTGCATGCAGTGGTGAGCCGCCATACACTACGCTTCCCGGTACGAGGCTACCGCTCGAGAACCTTACTTATCTATCGGTTGCCATTTATTTAAGCTATAGGGACTGCACATTGCCTCTTCAGCTTCCTGATCCATCGGGCTATGTCGGTTACCTTGGTTCACTGCTGATATTGTCATTTTGAAATCTATCAAACATTATATGATAATCGCTTAATTTATTTTTGATATAGCAAATACTCTTTTTTCTCATTTTTATGTAATAACTTTTAATATTTTTGAATCTAGAATGAATTAAGATATTTTCCGCCTTAAATTAAAAAAAATTAAAACCCAGACTGAGTTTTAAATTTACCACTCATTCCCAATTACTGCCGCCAAATAACTGTGTATCATAATATGCTCTGTTCTAATTTGAAGATAAGAGAGCCGGTGTAGCCACAGGCAGTCAGACATTTCATCTCAGTCCTCGATGGTGATAACGCATATGTGGCCTTCTTTGTTTGAAGCTATTTGCTGGCAGCTGGATTGTGAACTTATTTTTCACTCTGATATTATTTAAGAATAACAAAAATAATAATTGAAAACGTACTTCATATTTGTGTGATATTTATTTAGGTGCCAGTTCATCTGGTGTATTGACCTTAGAATGTCCAAGTTTAGAAGCAGTTTTAAATTCCTTGGAAGCACGTCATGCAGCTGGTTGGTTTGCTCCACATATTGCAACCACAATGCAACTAAAAGCGGCTTTTGGTGGAAAAGATGCTCTCCTAACTGCGCTTCACCAGTCCAGGTATTACAAATTAATCAATCAACGTTCATAGTAACACGAACCCATTAATAATTATAACCAAAAAGCTATTAGACCTTCCTACTTAAGATTTTGCATATCTAAAATTCTCTCTTTAAATACCTAAATCTTAAGTTCATGAGTATACCTACTGATTCACTGTATAACTAATCAAAAATCCGCACTACATCTAAGTAATTAAGAAACATGCACTGAGGTTAGATCGGTGCATAATTAGTGACAGCAAACGGCACATGCAATAAAGGGGGTGGCTGACGGCGGGAACGACGCGACGGTACGTTGTGCTTGCCACCAACTCTACCTGTCCCCGGACAATATCATACAAAAAACATACGTCCATTAATTTACTCATGTTTTTGAGTGTCAATAAATTATAGGATTGATAAGTATTTTCATAGGTTATCAAAGGTAATTTGAGAAAACGATAATTTAGATGCTTGATGAACTTTTTCTGTATGCTTTCTATTCTATCTTTATAGGTAGCGTATTGAGATGACCAAATTGGACTGGCATATTCTAGTACACTACGAACGTAAGCATTATGCATAATTTTAAGGGTATTAATATCTTTAAAAGGCTTGCAAGTTCTCATTACAAATCCGAGTGTTTTAAAAGCCTTGTTAACAGTTTTATCACCATGGTCTGATAAAAGCATTTTATATTAGAATATCCCTAAAATTTTAAGAGAATGAAATAGGTTGCCTTTTACGTGTAAAACTAATACATTCGCATTTATTAATATTAAACGTTATGTTGTTAGCAGAATAGTAAGCTAACATAGCATTTAAATCAGTTTGCATTTGATGACAGTCTTTTTCAGTACGGATGTTGTGAATAAGTTTTTTGTCATCGGCGTACATTAAATTTTTGAAAACTTAAAACAAGTTGTAATATCATGGATATAGGCGTTATACAGTAAAGACCCTAGATGTCATCCTTGAGGAATGCCTGTTGGTATTTCGATAAAGTCCGATCGATAACCACCTATTACAACAGTCTAAGAGTATTAAGTAAAATAAGAAAACTTAAAGTATTATAACTCTTAAAATATTAAGTAAAATAAGAAAACAGTAAAGCGTAAACGCAAGTAAAACATTGAAGATCATGATTTTACTTAGATTTATTCGAGTATAAAAGGATTAAACTTTTTCAAAATTATTGATGTTTCACCGAAAATATAAATGTAGAAAAGGGGCAAGTTCGATATAATCAACCTCTGGGGTTGTCGGCTTCGCCAGCGAAAGTAGAAAGTATGACCCTTTTCATTGAACGTTGTGCGTTGTTTGAAAAAGGGTAAGGGTCATACCTGTATATTTAACTATGATTTGTGACGCAACGTCAGCACTGGCATTGCATAGGGATAAGATTGTTATTTTGATTGTTTTATTAATTAATTCTACTGCCTAAAACCGCGACGCTTGACAGAGTATGAAAAAGCTGTGTCCAGCTTTCCAGCTAAGTTCCGCCCATATGAAATCTGCACAGCACGGCAAGTTATTTTAATATAATTTAACATTGTGACATTATCGTTGAATTTTTAATGATAATGGTCGTAACTATGTAACAACGGAAAGCTTATGTATGCTGTGCTGACAGCCTCCAGAATGCCTCAACAGCCCTCGGGATGCTGAGGCAAGTACAGCCGCTTTGAATCTTTACTGATTATTTACAGAGATTATAGAGAGAGAGAGAGAGAGAGGGAGAGTTTATTTACTTAAAATATTCTCTTTTGTTTAATATGATTTTTCTTCTAAAGCAAGAACTGCTATAAGCCCGATCTTTAATTTTAATTTTACACATACACCTATAGTTTATTGATTATATGCTACGGCTTGTCTAAGCACACCGACCGAGGCATAGTAACTGTAAGTGTACGCTTGTATGTATGTAGAAATGCTGAGTGGTCCCTTGCCATTCTGTGTAAGTGAGCATCGGTTACAGGTGTCCATGGTTAGAATGCAATTTAAAGACCAATGTACTTTTAAACGGGGAATAATTGAATCTTGTTGATTCTATTGTTTCTAATAGTATTACTCTTGACACCAAACTTCAGTCGGGCCCTTATACTTGTAAAGCAGCAAGCGGACCAAGTGCCGAGGCATCCTGAATGGCATTTTTAATCAGTTATTTACATGAATTAATATCTTATAGAATTTTTCTATGGGTAAATGTGACATTCTGACACTATTTCTGTTTTTCATATGAGGGCTATAAGAGCCATTTTTAATCGAAAATAGAGTCTCCCAAAGTAAAATTTAAAGAAATAGGTAATATTTACTTTTGAAGTCTAATTTTTAAGAAAATTAAATGTAATTCTAACAAAACAAAAGTGGATTTAAATAAAAAAGTGATATTCTTTCTGTACATGCCAGGAACAAAACAAACTAGTGATTCCAGTCACTTGACTCGACGAATGAGGCGAGTAACTTAAATTACATTCATTCATTCTTCATTTACAACAACAAGTCGAACAATGTATGCCCACGTTAGGAAGTGAACTTTTACATTTTATCTAAATTGTCTATATTTTTTTTTTAATTTACATAACACATTTCCTCTTCTTTTTGTAGAAAGGAGACATTTGAATTAATAACGCAATTGACGAAAGAATCTCAAAAGTGTGTAGACCTGAAAAATAAACTTCTTGAATTAGAAGTAAAAAGCAAAGAATCTCAAGAATTGGCTAAATCGAATGAATCGACGAAAAATATTGAGATTGGTGAATTTAGTTTTTGGGTGCCTGAAAATGAAGACAGTGATATCGATTTATTCGATAAAACTCAAATGGAAAAAGTTATTTTAAAAAGGAATTCTGTTTATCAACGAGAAGTTAAAAATGCTTTAAAATATTTTTGTAACAAATTTGAAATGCTTTTTGATAAAATGACTGAAATAGCTACTAAGACAGAAGATGATAAAAATAAATGGTCAATTCAAGAAGAATACTTAAAAGCTGAAATCGAAAACTTAAAGGCATTAAAAAGCATCCCTGAAGACGACGATGCAAGTGATACTTCCCCTGGTTTAGTAACTACTCCTAACATTAGTGTTCTAGAAAGGAAATGTTTTTATCTCGAGGAATCCTATAAAAACATCAGAACTTCTTATGAAAATATTAAAAATGAACTCTTAGAATTTAAAAAAGATGGATTAGTATCTACCACAAAATATGAATCTCTGATCCAGAATTTGATATTGCTTATCATAAGCCTCTCAGACAAACTGCGCTCTTCTATACCTGAGAACATATTTTGGAAACAAAATTTAATGCTAAATGAAATAGCGACAAAATATAACCAATTACTAAACAATGATATAACGAGGACAGTTCAACCATTTAAACTTTATGAGTACCTGGAAGAAAGTAAAAGGAGTGTTATAGACACCATACTAAAACAGCTACAAAAAACAAATAGTAAGTAATTTCTAAGCCCTAATATATTCTATTCTCTAAACCCTATTGTTTTCGGCGGTAGGATTATTTGGAATAGTTCATTTCTTTTTAATGAAATTGTATCATTAATAACTAATTTTGTCCTGTGGGTCTTGATGAGGAATATGACATTTTTCCAAATGCTAACCCGTGTGCCCGTTTGTCACCCTATTCTATAAAAAATCCGCACAAGGTACACCCTGCTTTTTGTTCGACAAAGGTCGTGTAATAAGCTGCTACAGAACACAAATATATCGGTGCTCGCCAGTTCACGTGGTGATAATGGGTTCCAAATAATTCTTGCCGGCTGGTAAAAAGGCGATGTGTTCTAAATATAATGTGCTTACTTCTACTCCTGTTAATCTGGAAAAGTAAACTTTAATATCAGACACTGATTTTTCTGTCGTTGAATTACAAAATTTTAATATTTACTAGTTGCTAGGATTTCCAGCCTAGGACTCCATCTGGAAAGGTATCAACCTTTTACCTTTTTCTGCCGCCAAACAGCAGTGCTTGCATTGTTGTGTTCTGGTCTGTAGGGTATAGAGAGCAAGTAAAGTTACAGGCCGTGAGGTTTTCCACTTTTGTTCTCATAGATGACAACGCATCGCCAGCCTTCTTTATTTGAAGTTGACTACAGAAGTCCTTTAAGTTGCAGTAGATACTTACGATCAGGACTTGAAGATCGTACAAAAACATTCGTAAAAAGGTCAACTTGTCAAGAACTAAAAAAAACTCAAAGTTTTAAAACTATTGTTTTGCAAATTGCCACTTGATGATGGTGTATAAAAACCTATCACGCCATTTCGTAACCGTATATGCAAAATGTTAAATACCCAGACCGGAGAGAGGGAGCAATATTAAACTTAGTACTGCAGTCCACCATCAATCCACATATCAAGCTAGCGAATAAAGAAAGTTGTTGGAAATAGTAAAATTTTATTTCAGAGAACGGAATCAAGGATCAAGAATATAATATCGTTGCTAAAGCTGAACAAGCTCTTGCCGAATCGCAATTGCAAGGGATTTGCTCGGAGTTAGAAAGAAAAAACGTACAGATAACCCAATTAACTAAATGTAATATGGAAATACAAGAATTACAAGTCAAACTAATGTGAGTTTTTATGTTAAAATATACCTTAGTCTTGAATATGATCAAGCATAATATCTAATTTTATGCATTTTCATATGTACCATTCGTTTAAACTAATAGTAAGAAATTCACAAATAACACATAACAATCTAATAATGTGCTTAAAAGGATGTCTTGAGTGCAAGAATTTTGAATAATAGGTTTTTAAGGATTCATTGCTGCCGCGCTGTGCCCATATGACCGTGCTAGGCAACCATGAGAGACAATTACAGCTCAGATTATAATTTATATCTAAGTATGTAAAATTGACAAAATCATCACCCATATTTCCGTGTTTGTTGTCATCCAAAACTGGACCGATTCTTGTTATTTTTTAAGTTACAATATAAGAAGGAATATGACTAAATATATCAGTATGTATTTATTATAGTTTAATATTCGTTGTATTTGTTCACCGGATGTTTAATAATTTTATTCCACTAATTGCGTAGTTAGGGTAATTTTAGAATGATTTCAAATTATTAATTAAAAAAAAGGAATATAACGGTTTTAGATATAGACGATTAGTTGTTTTGTTTTATATTACCATATTTAAAAATGTTCTTGTGTCGGTCACATTTCATTCATTATCCATGTAGAAAACCTAAATTTTGCTAGTATTCCTTTACCTACAATGCAATTTAGGAACTGATGTAAGTACTTAACAATCGCAGCCCTAATAGGTACGGCGTTCCAATTACTATTACAAAGAACAATTGATACGTTCCGATAACACAACTATTTTCATTCTACTTCATCCATTGAGTATGCTAATAAACGTAATGTATTGAATTTACGCATATTAAAAGTTATTATTTTTAAAGAGACGAAACTTTGGCATCAGAAACAAAGGAGGAAATAAATATTATGAAACAAAATTTATTACATTTAAGGAATGAAAATAAAACTCTTAAAGAACAATGTAAACAGTTAAAAAATCAACTGGATATTACTTTATTACAGGTGCGTTTTTTTTAAATACCCGTGTAATATCTAAACATGTTCGGCTTTATTACAAAAAGTAGTTTTTTAGTTAGTAAACTAAAATGTGTATGGAGTTTGACAGTAATTGTCAAATTTCGCGATAACAACTTTTTTTAAACTAAAATTTAAGCCCGAGATTGTAAATAAACCACTTTTTGTTTATAAGACAGATTTTGATTAAAGGAATGTTAAACTATCTGGTTATAAGTCAAATCTTATTAATGATAAAAAACTTAATTCTAATTTCAGTTGCAAAGTGATAATCAGAGTTATTTGAAATATGAAACAGAAATAAATATGTTAAGACATCAAGTACTTGATCTACAATCGATCGGAGATAACAAAGCAGTTCTTGCACGGTAAGGCGCAGACTTCAATATTTTTTATGCAAAGCAATTCCTGTAAAATATAAATTATTATTTGTATAACGAGAATTCCCAGTTTTGCGACCACCCACAATCATCTATGCGTCGGTAACTATATAAAACCGCCATAACATATGTTCTGCGTTGTATTTTATTTAATAATCATTATTGAAATATTTTCAAATAAAAGCAGATTTAATAAAGTTTAGATTGCAAAATGTTTTCAATTCAAATATGATAATACTTAAAAATTATCGATGAATATTCCCAAATCTGTTTTATTTTCTGACATTACCCTTAGTCATCCTTTATAACATCCATGGGCCACAATTGATTCTCTTTCGCAAACATTTCGACGATCTCAAGTACACTTACCAAAATGATGACGATTATGTCAACTTCTCTCCACAAGGGAAAAGATCTATGTATCTGATGTCTAGTAGTAGACTGTAAAAGTAACAGGCTTTGGAAGAAGTGATGAGAATAATACATAATGATTTTTTTTAATTCTTTTTTAAAGGTTGGGAAACGAAATATTAATAGCACACCTCAATGCAACTGAATACCAGAAAATGGTGGAAAATCTCAAACAATCTTTAATAAGGGAGAAAGAATTACGAGCAGAAACAGAAGATTCCATAATAGCCCTACAAAGAGTGTTTGATATGTACACTATAAAATACGAAAGCAAATTCAGGTAAGATAGATAAAGGACTAAATTTAGATGAAGAGTAACTAAATTGTCTTGATTTTAATTATTTCAGATACATGTTTGAAGTTATACAAACATTGAGACTACAATATCACGGTTGTGTACCGTTAGCGTCAGCCGAAAATTATCTGAATAATTTACAGGAACTTTCCAAGAAAACTGTCACTATGAATGAAAAATCAAATGAAATTGAAAATTTAAGATTTAGCCTAATCGCCAAACATAGTGTCTATGATCAAATATTAGAACTAACAAAATCGGAATCTTGTGAAGATACAGAAAGATGTCGGCATAAACTGCAATTAATTGTTTCGGTAACTATTAGCTAATAATAACATATTTTCAATCATCGTTTAAATTTGTCACAATAATTAAAAAATAATCGCAATTAAACTTTTAGGAGGGTATATGCGCAAGAGAACTGGAACATTGCAATATAAAGCTGCACGCTTTAGAAAAAGCACATCAAAAGTTATTAGAGCGATGTAATTATCTAGAAAGAACATTAGTTTCGGTAAACCAAGATTTAAGAAATGACGCCATCAATAAGAATGTCATAAAAAATTCAGTTTACCATATAACCACGGATAATAATAACATTGTAGTAGAAAATGTTGAATCTGATTATGAATCAAGTTCTAGCGGTTAGTATAACTATATTATTAAAAACCTGCTTGCATTTAACAGTAATATAGTATGTTTATTATGCGCAATTAAAACCTGGTTAATGATGATAACTTGTTGAATTTCCGCAGGGAGTTTTGTTAATTTTTAATGTAAGTCAATTAAGTTAGAGACAGACTGGACAGACCCACGTACGCAACTTATGCAACGCATTATGACTTTGATTTTGTATGAAAAACCATACTCTAGAAACACACTTATCGCATGCAATGCAATGAAATCAAAAAGGTCGATCTACGATGTCTATATCAGCGTGGGAAAGTGGACGGGATGTTCGTACGCAATTCTACGCATACGATTAGTGTGTTCGTAGAACTTACGCGTAAGACGTCATAAACAAATAGACATTTGCACCGGGCACGCGTTTTGTTGCCAAAATTTAAGATGAACAGCTCATCGATTTAGTAAGGCGATACGAATGTATTTAATGAGTAGAATTTAATTAAATTAGTGGAATATCGCTATGCTAAATTACGATATATAGTTTGGGAAAAGATTAATTGTATACCTAGTGAGTATGAGTATAGGCGTCAAATAAAAAAGGTATTTTATTTCCATCCTAATTATGTTAAGAAATGAATTAAAATACACATTGTATTCTACATATTTATGTATTTGTTTGCATTATAAATCACATATTTTAACAGAATTACCACCTAAACGTTTTTTATGGCGTGTAAATATTCGTTTATGTACATCAGACTAAGTAAATCATTCTCAAACTCACCCTCAGAATGAGAAAACACGCTATAAATTTGTACTCGGTCGCTTTGTACTCGTCTGTTAAGGAGTGACAAGAGTGTCTGACGCTAAACGTACGTTGCATACGTAGGCTAAGTGTGTACACCAACGTGGGAGCGTTGCATTGCATACGTTGCGTACGTCTGACATGTTGCGTACGGATCAGTCTGTTTCTCCTCTTAGAATTTCATCTTAAATATTTTCATTTTCACTGTCAAAACGAATAGCTTGTAATCGTTTTTAAGATTCACATAATGGTGACAACCATCAAATTATTTTAAAAGCTATAATTGCACCGCATTAGTGTTTTAAAATATAAAGTTAAGCTAACGTACCTGTGCCCAACGTAAAGTAGTTTAGGATGTAGTTTAAAAAAGGGAAACTAACAATTTAAACAAAATATTATGTTCATTATTTAATTCTGTACCTAACATAGAAAGTATCATACAATATTAAAAGATTTGGTGTATGTTTTAGAAAGTGGAACGTTTACTTTGCCTAAACCTCATACAACTCAATTGCAAAATCAAATTATTTTACAAGAAAAGAAACCAGTAGCAAATTTTAATAATATGACAGACCAAATTCAGCAGACAGATAATCCAAAGAATGTAAGTATAATGACACAGACAAACTTAGTATTTTCTGAAAGAAGTGATAAACATATTCAAACAGACAAAGATTATAATAATTTAAGTGAATTAAAACTTCGTTTAGAAAATTTGGAAATCAGAAAAAAAGAGCAAGATCAGAAACTTATCCAGTGTATTAGTGTGTCAGAGGAACGAGCAAGAAATATTGCATTGCTTAAGGAAGAAAAAAATGCTTTAGAGGAAAAAAGTCAAAGTCTCACTCAAAACAATTTCAAATTAAAGAAATTGAATGAACATTCAAATAAAACTATTGAATTACTTCAAATAGAACTTGATGAAGTTAAAAGGGATCATGCTGAGCAATTTAATAAAATAAAGAAAGAATTGAATGAAGAAAATCAATCGCTTTTACTTAACATGAAGCAAATTGAAAATGACAAAAACAACATAATCGCGGACTATAAACAATTATTAGAAAATGAAAGAAATCAATCTTACACAACAGCAAAGGAGTTACAGTCAAAATTAACAACATTACAAGCTGATTTAGATGGGTAAAGTATGACGCTAAAATGAGAATTAGATAATTTCCATCAATCATTCTTTGGAATGCGTTTTAGATAAATCTCATCTTATCTCATAATCTATACGTAAGAATCACTTTTCATTACAGAAAAGCAAGTGCGACCAACGCTGCAAATGCGGAAATTATTAAAAAGAATATACTTAAATACACTATAAAGAACGCAGAACTTGAAGACAAATGTTTTAAATTACAGAATAGTTTAGAAGAATATAAGACAGAAGTGTAAGTTTCAATATTTATTAGGGAATAGTATTAATTCGTTAACTGAAATTATGAAATAGTTTAATTACGTGATTTCTTCACCAGGACCAGTTGTCAAAGTGAGCTAAAACGTTGGAAGGAATTAGCTTCAGAGAGACTAGAAAAAATGGAACAGATGAGTATGCAACTAAAGGAACGACATAATCAGGAGGTAAGTAATACAATATTATGAGCAATGTAATGAAAATCCTATCATTATATTTAAAAATCCTTATATTAATAAGGACGGCGCTGATTGTAAATATTATTAAATGATGAGTATTATGTGGTTACCCTATTCTTTTTACGGAATTTTGCCGTGCCAGTTAACAGCGCTATATAGATTCAAATAAATTTCAGATATGAAATTTACTTTGAATTAAGTGTAAATGATAAGCAAAATAATAAAAAGCATAGCAATAATAGCAAAATCCCGCCTATGAGGCAATTTATCGAGGAGGCCTATGTTCAGTAGTGGAATTTTATGGGCTGTAATGAATGGAGCATATAATAAGCCCATCTACAAGTTAAAACTTAGGTTAAGGGGATAAAATATTTTATTAAAATAAGAATTAGTTAAAAAGCACAAAGAAACCAGTTCCAATAGGAATTTCACTTTATCCGTACCTTCTTTCTAATTTTTCATTATAGGATATTTTTTACAAATGTTTTTTTTTCTTTTTATTTAATTTAAGCAATATTAAACGCACATTCGCAACAGTCTTATCGTCCATTTATTATTTTATTACACTTTATTGAACATCACCCTAATAAAAAGGATCAAAAAGGGCGTTCAATATCCAAAAAATTATATGATAATAATTACCGATTGGTGGTGACGGAAGACCATTCCATTACCTCATTGTATTTCATAGTTGTCGTATGAGACGACAATAGAAAATTATAGTACATATTAAGTAAGACGTACAATATCAAAGACATACACCATTAATAGTGAGCAGCGTCAAAGATCTGAGACTGCAATATCCGATCTGCCTGCGAAGTGTCGTGCTTATGGTAATCTTGCTTTCAATGGGAAAATCCCATGTCCAGTAGTGCACTGTTGAAGAAGAAGTGGAAGAAAACTAGGGATTGGTAACTTCGTATTAAGACCGACGCAAAAGTTCACGTATCGACATTTTACATTTGACTTTTTTATTTTACAATTAATACCTATAGGATTTTACTATTTTTGATCACCTAAAAGGCCAAGTAATAACAGTACACGATACAATGGAAGGCCACACCGTGTAGTTGCGTGCAGTTGTTGTATGTAGTCCACTATCTTATAGCAACCCGAGAGTTGTCTTAAGAAACGACTGCAAGAAATTGGAACACGAGATAGGCCGAAGATTTTCACAAACTATATTGAAATAAAAAGGTTTAGGCTTAAGTTAAGGCTTTCGAACTGTCAATATTAAATTGAGTCTGTTAGTAGCTGGAAATGATTAGTATTTTTATTGTTATCCATTCATATACTGTAATGTTACGTTGTCAAATAAATCATTCTATTCTATACCAAACACAAGTGCACAAACACAAGTTAGTTATCGCGTACCGTCTCGTCTTTTACATTATCGGAGTGACTTCGAGTACGATTATTACGTAATTTACAACAAGAAATTCACTATGTATTTGCGCGTATTTCTCCTTATTACGAGTATTTTCTTGACAGAGTCGATTATTTAGAAGCTATCGCAGAAGTTAGTATTATTTTGAGATAAGAAAAGAATTGAAAAAAAAACATTGAATAAAAAGAATGGCAATAGGCAATAATAACACGAAAAATAAGTAATGTATGGTAGTTTAAGCAAATTAAGTACTAGGATAGAATAGAATATAATAGAATATTTTGTATTCAATATAGATTACAAGTAATTCTTATTGAAATTCAATTTTTACTTTAACACTTTAACCCGTTATAAACTTTAAAACATTATGGAAACAATCGGATTTTGGTATGCTATAAATACACATATATGTAATTCTAGGTTGAATCCTACAAAGCAGAAAATCAGCATTGGTTGGTGCAACTAAATGAAACACAACGTGAACATATGGAGTTGCGTACGCAATTGATGGAACAGAAGGCTTTGCATGTTAAACAACTATCAGAAAAAGATACACAGATAGAACAACTCCGATCCGTTGTACATAACTTAAAAGTGAGAAACATTTTTAAGTAGCAATTTTTAATATAACAGTCTATCCTTAACGATTATGTACCATATGTGCTTACGTGTAATCGACGAAATATGACATCGAGCTATAACATTGTTAATAATATCCATACAGTTTGAATAATCACCAAACAAGCGGGCAACACAGCTTATAAAAATAAATAAAATATGTTGCATTCTAAGTCTTCACGAACGTGAACAATGTTTAGACATTTATTTATTTAAGAATATCATTCTATTTAATACCTTAAAATTACTAAACAGATAATATAAAGTATAATACTATTTGTTGTAGATTAACATCATACAATGTATTATTTGCCACAGAGTTTCACTAAAATATTTTGCTTAAAAGTATTTCTAAATAAGGGTAGTCTAATAAGGGTAGTATATTAGACTACCCTTATTTAGAAATACTTTTAAGGGTAAACATTGCTCACTTTCTGAAAAATTGGTATTATCATAATTTGTTGCTAAAAGCACTTAAATTATCATAGTGCCCAACAATCTCATACTATATTCAAAATAAACAGATACATCAATTTATAATAAAGAATAGATACTTACTTATTTTTTATTTTACCCAATTACATTTGCATTCATATTCATAATGCCTGACCGTTAATAATGACCTCATTAATCACTTCATCACAAAATTTCAGACACAAATAATGAATATGCAGATGATATTATCAGTGAATGATCCTAGCTTCGACCTATCCGCAATAGTTGAAGTTGAAGAAGCAAGTGACGTCTCTCAGCAGGGTTCTGACCGTTTAGAATTGAAGTTTGATTCCACGGTTGATTTGCATGAAATGCACGATGATTTTATGAGAGTGCCTGCCACATCCACTACTATATGGTAAGTTTTATGCACAAACTTTTAAAATAACATTAGATAAAGTACACTTAACAAAGGCACGTATGGCAATTCACAATGCTGTGTTGGTCCCTACTTTAACGTATGGTAGTGAAAGTTGGGTGTGGCAGAAGAAGCACGAGAGTAGAATCAACGCAGTAGAAATGCGGTCCTTAAGGAGTATGTTAGGGCTGAATCTGAACGACAGGGTAAGAAATTGTGTAATAAGAGAAGAGTGTGGTTTGCAAGATGATGTTGTAACCAGGATTAAGAAAGGAATGCTTCGATGGTTTGGTCATGTGGAAAGAATGAATGAGGAAAGAGTGACAAAGAAAATTTATGGTGCAGAAGTGAATGGCAGAGTCGGAAAGGGACGTCCTAGGCGAAAATATATCGACCAAATTGGCGATTTATTAAAAACGGGCCAAATTAGGAGTACCCTTAACCGACGAGCATGTATGCGTAGGTGTATGGATGTGAAGGAGGCGAGAGAGGTGTGTCAGGATCGTGCCAAATGGAACTCTGTAGTCTCTGCCTACCCCTCTGGGTGACAGGCGTGAGTGTTTATGTATATGTTATGTATGTATGTAAAGTACACTTAACACTCTTTGTGCATTTCCTTTCTTTACTGGAAAAATTTTATTCTTGTATTTACTAGACCAGTCCCTTCAAAACCATTCTGAATAATTTATTTTTTATCAGCCTGAAAAAAATTAACTACTAGACATGCCGAATTTTCATTGCGGCGATATGAGGATTAGATAGATATTGTTGTTTTGCACTTTTTTACACTGCTATTCAGGGTATTATAGACCTCGCGTCTGCTAGATAGTACACCTAAATCAAGATTTTACTGACCTTTCCTATATCAATGGTAACAAGATGAGGTAATGAGTTATCTTACTGTTAAACAAAATACATTTGAATGTTATCTTCCTGCATTGCTTGCATTTACCAAAATTGACTTTTACAAATGCTGAAGGTAAGACGTATCTCAAACGCCTCTGTCGATGACTAGCTAACTGTTTAGTATAATACACTTTAATATACCACAAGGTTTATTTACTTTGCGTTAAATATATTAAATTTAGAAGCTACATTAATTATTAACATAATGATAAAATTCTTACAAGCTTAATGAAATTAAATCAAAACTACTATAATGGATAAAACATTGAATAAAACCAATTTCACGGATTATGTCGCGTTTAATCTTATTTAATTCGTTTAATCTCATTTTTAATTCCCAACGTCAGGTGCTTTACAGCACCCATAATTATGGGAGGGGGGATTTATTCTGTCACAGATTCCTTGTGCTCTCTTAAACTAAGTCTGGCCACATGTTCAAGAGCATCCCCGACATTACATCCGTATCAAAATCCGAAAAATTAGTCTTATTAAAAACAGCTGTGTAAAATCATTTTTCATTTTCAGGCAAGAACCTGCAATCGAACGTTTGCGCCGTGAAAAGCAATTGCTCAGTAAACAAAACGGCATATTGCGCCGACAGATCAAGGCAATCGCTGCCAGGGAACGTAGGGCGCGCCTCGATGCTCAGAATCTCAAGAACCAAATATTTCGAATGTGAATACTTATACTTCTATATATACACACCAATATTACCAAACTATATATATATATATATATATATATATATATATATATATATATATATATATATATATATGTGTGTGTGTGTGTGTGTTATGTATATACACACTTATTAGGAATAACTTTTACCCACAGTTGGAGGTGGTGATTGATTTCATAATATCTTAAGCAAAAACTGTTGTATGTTGAACTATTTTTAAATAAGATATAATTAATATCGTTATTATTATAGTTTGTATAATAATAATATTAACGTATCTGTACTTGAAAATGAAACTGAAGTCTTATTTACCGCATGCTTATGGCTGATTTTAGGCAATCACAAATAATTATAGAAAATATGCTTATTCAACATGTCGCTTACAGTAGCACATCTGGAAGCAAAGCAGTGACAGCGGAATCAGCAGCACTTCACAATAAAATTGCCTCTCTCCAGTCACAGCTGACGAGTGCACGGCGTGATACACATTCTTCCGTAGCGCTATGGGATAAATGGAAAAGGTGTTTTTTTTTAATTTACGCAGCAATATTTTCTGCTTGTAATACACAATATAGTTCATGTTATTAGACAAAACATGATTCTCTACGTAATAATTATTTAAGGTTTATATTTATCTGTTTTAGCTCTAATTTGCACATCTTTATTAGCAAAAGTTGTAATATCAAACATAAGCAATTATTTTTGTTCAAATCTTTTATTTTAGAGCTCAACAAACTTCAGAACGTTGGCAAGCACGATACGAAGAGAAATGTCAAGAGATTACTAAATTAGAAGCCAGCTTGAACTTAGCCAAGTCTGCTGTTACAAGGCTTGAGAAAGAAAAACGCGTATTGTTATCGCGGCTCGATGAACTAAAAAGTAAGATTAAATTAAAATTAACAACCATTAATTAGTCATATTATTAACTGCCTGTAATAGTATAAATCAAAATTAGCTAAACTACAAGGACTGCATTGCTTGTTGTATTCTGCCACTCCGTCAACTTTCTCAGCAAAAAATTGGCTGACAGCTTCATGTTACTGGACTGTGTACGCAATATGCACAAAAGATAATAAAGCCCTTTATAATTATTGTATCCAAATAAATACATTGTTTGATTATGTGTGAATATAACAATGGCAACATTTAACGCATTTTTATACCTTGAATAGCTTTGATTTTATCTTGAATACCTTATTATTATATTTCATTAATCCTGTAACTATAAGAGTACAGTTTTATTAGGAAATTTTCACTGGAAACTAATTATTCCACCGTAGTCCTCAGGGGTGACAATGCGTCTGAATTTTGATTCTTAATCGGTGATAGATGCAGCTGTCAATAGACCATAGTATCCACTTACCGTCTGGTGGACTCTGTATTCTTCTATAAAAAAAGAAACTTAGATAAATGTTGCATCACATGTTGGGACTAAACTACCATTTATCAGCAATATTATTGTTATCTTTATAAACATATTTGCATTATAAACTTAACTAGCGACACTTAGAGTAAATAAATAAGTAAAAACTATCATACAATTTTGATCTTATGCAAACTCTCATCTATGTCAAAGACGCGAAAACCGTGAGTCGCAATGTATGCAGATGACGCAATGTACTATCATGGATCTAGAAAAAAGGGCGGACAGAGTCTCGCTAAGAAACAATTGATGCACCGCAATGGCGGCCGCGTAACTATGTGTGAGTCCAAGTCACGCGAGCGTGACTTGGAGCGTATTGGCGGGCAGTAGACTATGGTGTGCATGTGTTCGTGCCGGCTTGTTTGTATTAGCGAAGCTGACTTACTGTGGGTGCCTCAGTAATTGTTTTAAGAGATTTCTAGGTCCATGTGTACTATATTGCGTGTTTCGTTGCACATATTGTAAATAGTTTTGAATTCTTTTCGTGTTTGACATGATATTTAATGCTTCGATTGTTTACCAACGTAGTTATTAAAATTGCAGACATAAAGTTTCATTGAAGTTTGGATGCTTGTCTATGTTCACGATGAAGAATGGTGGACCCTTATGCGCACCTAGGGCAACCACTTACACGACGTTATAAAATAAACTATACGTATGCCGTTTAGTTCTTTAGCCATATGTGACTGGTTTATTTAGTTCAAAATAGAGCTTTAGTGTCGTAGGTACATTTTCTTGTTATGAATTGTCTACATTTACCTCTAAATTGTGTGTTTTCTTGCAAAAGTTTCATTCGTAATGTTAACGTGGTTAGTATGCACAGCAGCCACATGATTTTGGATTGACAGCGAATTCTAATTTTATAATATTCTTCTTCTCTTCGGTATTTTATAAAAAACGAATACTTCCTCTATCATTAGCAATTCGCAGTAATGAATCCATTATAAATAGAAGAATACATTATATTCTAAACTTCCAGATGAAAAGCAATTAGTGATAGAAAAGCAAGACGGCGAAGCGTCTGAGAAGCGAGAGCTTTCCCGCAGTGAATGTGATTACAGCGAGATGAAAACCGTACCCGTGTCCACTCGGGCGTTACTTGAGCGGGTAGAAGCTCAACAGAGACGCATTGTAGCACTCGAAGTGGCTGGAAAGGTTTTTACTTATGTTTTATAAGCCTCTAGGTGTGCCCGGCATACTGGGTCCAAGAGTGTAATAATTATTATTAATCATAATTCACTGAAAGAAACCGTTAGGTTTTTTTCAGTAAGCTCGTGTGGTACCCATATATCGACCTTTTTTGTATAACCAGACTTTTTCAAATGGGTCAAAACTGTTGTGTGATTAAACCTCGACTACTCGGCTATGTCGTATCTACTAATATGCTCATCTTGCTCCACTTGAGCGGGCTGCATCTTTGACATCAAAATTCCCGGATTGAAAACGCTTGAACCAACTTTGTTATACTCTTACTGACACTGCCACAGAAATAGTAATAATTCTTATTATTACGATTTCTGTGGACACTGCATTAGCTCAATATACGTCAAAAAAAATTTCGCAGCTTGAGCCCCATTTTTCCCTTTTTTGTAATAAAACTTCAGAATGTGTCAAATTTCTTCGATAGATTCACTCATTTTGGCGGACAAAAAACAATTGAAAAATGGCGGTAAAGTGTTTTTTACTTTTTATTTTTCTTTTTCTTCGTTTTATACCTATTGATATTAAAACCAGCCAGATAAAAACAGTACAACCAAAGAGATTTTTCTTCAATTATATACAAACAAAATACGAAGAAACTTTTCCCCGATCTAGGTATTTTATTTTATTTTTGTAAATTATGGGCATATAATATGTGAATATGTATCCTATTTGATGGTAATAATAGTAAGAACCTACGACGGGAACGTCAAATTTTTTTTACTCTTGTTACTGTGTACTCTAATCTATCTGTCAAACGTGATGGTAATAGCAAATCTTCCCAACCTCCGCAGAACGGCAGAACTCCACGTCATACAGTGAACTTTTACGGCCTGATGAAGAATAAGATGTCCAGGTTATTGATTCATAAGTTTCACAATGTTATATAAATATATCTTTTGTTAAAATAAGATCAACATACTTATATTATTAGATACTTGAATCTTTCAATTATATTTAAATCAGGGCAACGAACCACTCGTGTCGGAGTATGAGAAAGCTCTGGCTGAGAATACATCGCTTAAGGGTCAAATTCTCAAACTTGAGTCTACCTTACTGGAAACTCAAATAAGATCGCCTCTCAAGACCACTCCGGAGGCCAAACCAGAACTCGAATACTGGAGAAGGTAAATTCACATGAATTGAAATACTTATATAATTTACAAAATAATTGACTAGAAGGGATAATATACAAAACCATGCATGTGATGGTTAGTAAATGCTACGACCCATAGACACTCTATATTTATCCTCAAATTCGAAACAAAATACTATATTATCGTGTATGTGATTACTATTATGGAACGCGTCATTACCAGTAAAATGGGTATTCGGTTCTCAAACACAAAACACGTAACGCAGCAGCATTTTGCTGCTGTTTAGAGCAGATATTCCTTCTTCAGTTGTGCCAACTAAGTCTTAACTGCAGCCATAACTGAACTACAGCGTAGCTTTACCATGACTCTACCACCTAAAATGTTATCAAATGAATTATCAAGTTTTCAATGAATGCAACAAAGGCGACTGTAAGATACAGTCGTGTTGATTATGTTATCTCTCATATTTATCCATAAGTGCGCTTATGAGATAAATTTGGATGCAGAGATAATTTATCTCCTTTTGTCATTGACCTTAAAACTAATATTTATTTATTTATTTAAAAACTTAAATGTAACACTTTATAGTAAAGGGTACATAGGGCGGACTTAATGCCATGGAACAATCTTTGCCAGTCAACCCTGGGTGCCAAAGACAATTTTTGGCAGATACGAAACATAATACATAAATAAAGTGTGTATATATTAAAATATAATATATACGTAATACATACATATACAACGCATATAATATGTATGTATAATTAGGTCTCCAGCTCGAACTCGAATTACCTACGTGATTATTATATAAAAAATACGTGATAATTGTAATCGTAACCTTATACCATATTTTCCGATAGTTACTGCAACATGCTCAAGGATGAAAACGCGCAACTAACACTGCGCGTAACGTCTCTCGAGAGCACACCATCAACGGCGCACCAGCATCGGGTCAATGATCTCGAACAAACTGTACTGACACTCAGAGGTAAAATATCAATATACCATTACACTAGTATGTGACTTTAAGTTAAAGTTATTCATTTCATATGCTAGAAGAAGATTATTAGTGGGGTATTTTACGACGGGAATTAATATCGAAAATATCAACGGTTCATAATGACGACCGCTTAATATCGCAAGTGAAAATCATATAAAATATTAAAAATTATTTACTCTTATTAAAAATATTACTGAAAATAATGTCGTCGGTTGTATGAAAGCGACGAGATTATTTTTACTAATTAGTATTTCATTTATGAACACTTAACGTGTATTTGAATTATTAAAGGCGAAAGAAAAACACTGATCGGTCGACATGCAGACCGAATACAATAAAACGGGATTAAATAGTCTAGTAACTAAGTTTTCAAAAGCTAAAGCATTTTTTTAAGTTTTCGTAAGTAAAATATTATGGTAATGCTAAAAATTTTCCACCATAATATGTTCATTATTATCATATAATGTTCACTATCATGTAAAATAATTTTTTATTCTGATATAACATTTTAAAGTGTAACAGCACATAATATTGTTAAAAAAAAACAGGTAAAAGAACTCACTGCATAAGTGAAGCAAACTCAAAAAAAATTGGCTACGCGGCTTTCGCGTGTTCGGATCGCGCACGGAACATTGCATAAGCTGGCCAAAATAAAAAATAAAATATTTTTGTATAAGCGAAATACTTGTGTGTATTAAACATATAAAATGCAAAAACGCAAAAAAATATATTTAAATATACTTTCAGCTACACTTGAAAGCATACCCGTAGTTTAAGTTTTTTCGACACTGCTTCAGTTTTATATAAGTCCGTTAATATTACTTATAACTCAATAAAATTATGATATTGTTATTGTGATAATCTGTAATATAACAATGTAAAAGGAAAAGCTATAAGGAAAAGCTATAAGGAAAAGCTAGGAAAACTAGGGCCGATGCAGATGCAAAGGTAAAACTTTTGCTAGCATCATAAACGGAGCGGAGTTCTAAAGTCATAACTATCTTCATTTCAACAAAGATTTATTCAAATGGTGTGACATTGCGCAGATGTGAATTAGCGAATTGATTAGATAGTTAAGGAAAAAAATGATATTCAGATTTTTATTGTATACAAACCTTGTCTGCGTTGAGCTACAAATATTTCCGAATAATTATGTAAATTGACCTACGGGGTACGGAGGAGATAGATTTCAAAGAATCGTTTTCCTGCGCCATGGGAGCTCCGCTCGCTTCGCTCTAATTAATTAAGACTTTCCAGTTTTTAGCTGGAAAAGTCTTACTTAATCAAATCATAGTTCAAATTATTAAGTAGATTTTGGGGTTCAAAAGAACTTGAATTATGTCTGAATTATTTACAGATTTTTTTGAATTTGAAATAAACTCCACGAAATTTGTAGGGCTAGTCAGCAAATTACAAGCCGAACTGAAGTCATCAGCAACAAACATGCAAAAACGAGTCGATTGCAGACCAAGTAGCGGTCGCAGTGCACCGGAAAAGGTAACTCTAAATATTTTAGGATAATATCTGGGTGACATGAATAATTAAAAGTGACATAAAAAATTAATAATTTTTTTGAAAAAAAAAAACAAAAATTACGAACATTTAAAAAAATCGCCACCGTAACCAGGAAGAGTGGGGTTGCTGGGGACTGGGGACCGTCTATTTATGTCGTTGCTCATGGGGGGGTATATTGCCGTAGTTGCCTTGGCAGGCGGGTTGGCAACCGCAGTTTTTTGTTGTAAAATTGCTGTTATCAGGAGGATACTGCTGCTCATCTCCTGTCCGTTTCCCTCTGTCGCCTCTTACGACACCCACGAGAAGATATGGGGTAGTGGATATTCTTAACCGCCACTACAAGGCAAGTAAAGTAAAAGTAAGTAAATCATTTCTCGATATTAACATCGATCTTCGATGACGATCTTTTTCATAACATTTTTTGTTTATGGTACAGCTTTATATTTTGTGGTTAAATATCCACAAATGATTTTTTTTATAGAAAAAAAGTGACTAACGAGTAATTATATACGGGAACTATTTTCCGTGTGATTTCGGCGTGAGGACATCCACTACCCCATATCCGCTTACAAGTTAAAAATAAAAACTGCAGTTGCTAAACCACTTGCCAAGCGTGGCAACTATGATTTTTTTGTATAATATGGGTGACAAACTAACATACAGTCCACCTAATGGTAAGTTGATGCTGTAGGCCATAGACTTCTAAAAATAATCCCCTATAAAGCAATTTATGGAGCTGCCATATGTATAACAGTAGACTTTTAATAGGCCATAACGAATGTGATTGTGTTAAGTGGTCGTATTTCAAGTTAAGTATTTTAAGGACTTCTCAAAAATTATATAAAACTAATTTAAAATTTATCCTTTAATTAATGTTGCTGATTTTTTGTAGCTGAATAGTGCTGACTGTATATATTACAAAAAAAAATATAATTTAAATGCCTACCAGACGTACTCAAATACTCGTACTTCGAAGTTCTGCCAATAGGCTAGTCTGTAACATTTTATACGGCAATTTTCAGACACGAAGTCAGTTGGAGTCATGTAAAACGGAAATATCAAATCTAAAGAGGAGTATACAAGAAAAAGACGCTCTTCTTGAAAGATCCAAAAATATGCTAAGAATCGCAGCTGAAAGAGAAGATGAGCTATTAAGAGAAGTAAGATAAATAGATTCCCATTTTGTATCTAATCGTTGCTCTAATATCTATACGTTTATCGCGATGCATTTGTATACCTAGTACAATTGTTTGGTATTGACAGACGTTTGTGGCGGCCAGTCTCAACGGAGACTAGTCATCGGCGCAGGACAGGATTATAGTACGGTTTTACGTATCAGCAGTTTTACCTGATTTCCAAGGCACCGGGGTGAGACACCGCCAACTTCCTGACTACCGGCAGCTACTGAATTTCTTAATGGAAAAACTCAATAACTGATTTTTTTTGGCTGATTTAACTGAATTTTCTCATGATTAGCAGTCGCACTACTATAACTACGAGACCAACGAGGCAAACCAACAAGCAGTTAGCAGTAATATATATATATATATATATATATATATATATATATATATAATTTTATATGTAAGATAAATAAACGACGTGTTTTTAATGGTAAATCATTTTTTCAGAACGCATTTTTACGGCGACAATTGGATGAGCTTACCGACGATAAAAGAGGTGTCCTGTCGGCCTAATTTTACTTATCATAAGCATACCTTTTTTCATTGACGCACAATTTTATTACAATTTAATTTAATAAATAAGAATATAATATTATAACTTTCAAGAAATAAATAAAATGCTAAATATATATATCGATTTTATTTTACATAGCTTGAATCTGGGTTTATTTAAATGCGACCAATACCTATGACCCCAACACCAAAACCAACCATTTAAATGTCTAATATTGCATCTGTAAATACAGAATAATAATCGCTGGAAGCTATCTCGATAGTTAGAAACCATCTTATAATTTCCGTTTCAAAGGTGCTACATCGGAGAAATGTTGTTCGGCTAGCGTTAGGTTTTTCGGGCGTGCTCTCTATCACACATAGCGCTATAACATTATGGACATATTATGATATATCATCATTCGACAATGATCGACTGCACGATTTGTATTTTTTTAAACTTTTTAGTATTTCAATATATGTAACAACGTCAACGTGTAAAATAGTGATGTAAGTGGATGAGCGCTCGAATTACAATCTATTTTGCATATCAAACTAGGTTTCCCATTACCGTTAGGTTTAAGAATGCACACAAACATGTAATATCAAGCTTTAAAAAAAAACGAAAAGTTATTAACACGCAATAATACAGCCAGATTACTTTGGAGATACAATGTTGTTGTATTGATTGTAAATATTAAAAAACAATATAACTTATAATCGTTGATTATCACTTACTTAAGTACCTTTTGATTATCTTATAACTGTCTCTTGTCAGTCAAAAAGAAAAAGAATAACTTGCATTTATTAAATTAACATCGATTAAGCCCGCAAAATGTTTAGAAATTTAACACAACGTTTGTACTATTGGTAAAAAAAGAAAAATATAAGTATTATCGTATAATGCAGCAGGTGACCCGCCACTAAATGAACTGACAACTTTGTAGGTATGAAAAAGACGTAAAATTAGTTTAAGCCGTGTTTTAGGGTAATTCTTAGGACATATTTGTAATCAGAAATGGAATTATGATGAAATTTTGTAATGTAATGGTATTAAAAATCTAATTTGTATCTTATACACTCTTATTAACATAATATACAAATACCGTAGAATTCTAAAAATGCACTTTCCATCAGATAATAGTCAAAAGACATTAACATGAAGGGAGTCAAGCGTTTTTATAAATAGTGTCAAAAGTTTAAATACATACTACACATATTTTAAGCTTATGTAAATCGTAACTATTTGAATTCAATTAATTTTACTAATTTCAATTCCAGAGGTTCTACAAGAACTTATCAATCAGCAATCATTTGAAATAGACTTTAGTCATTTGAAATAGAAATAGGTATGTTAACCAAATATTTCTCGTTCAGAAATTATGAGAATATAATTTAATGGCACCCTCAGATAAATAAAAAGCCGAGCGCTGCGTGAACAAATCCAAACCATGCTCAACTTCTTGATGTACTCACGTACACAATATTGGTAATTCAATCGGCAGTTTTTATTGTCACGAACCCTAAGCTCGTAACAGTATGAAGTAAAGTTGCCTTCTATTGGAAACCGAATAATGCACGTTCTGGTCTCTCGCCAAGACTGTCCAAGTTTATTTCAGTAAGTCTTTACCATTTCTGCACAAGGAGTACGACTCACTGGCCCATCATCTTTTAGGCTCTATTTTTGCGTCCAAGTCGAAACCTCCGACCATACCGCGGTGTGAGTGTTCTTTGCCTGATATGCGATTCACACAGCGCTCAGTGTGTAAAGTACTCCTCTCCCTGGACATCCATAAGTCAAGTGGGCCTGACGGAATCCCTCCAATTGTGCTGAGGACGTGTACTTCAGAGCTGGCACCGGTTCTAATGCGTCTTTTCTGATACTTTTACTCCCTGAGCATAGTCTCGAATTCATGGAAGACAGTTTTTTTGTACGTAACGATTCTGAACCATCCTGCTACAGGGCTATCGCCATCACCTCCCTTTTCTCCAAAATAATAGAGTCCATTATTAAAAGCCAGCTCATGCGGTAACTTGAGGAAGTCCAGTTGATTAGTGACTGCCAGTACGGTTTCCGTCAACTGCGCTCAGCTGATGATCTTCTTGTTTATCTACGAGGAACAAACCGATAGACGCAGTAAATTGAGTGCAAAGGAGCAGGCTTTGGCGGTTAATTTGGACATAGCGAAGGCCTTCGATCAGGTTTGGCACAAAGCGCTTCTCTCGAAGCTTCCTTCCTATGGGCTTCCCGAGAAATTGTGCGATTGGATCACCGGTTTTCTGTCTGATCGGAGTATCGAGGTCGTAATTGATGGTGCATGCTTCGATTGCAAACCTATTAACACTGGTATTCCACAACGATGCGAGCACCGATGCACCAACATTATTGCTTCTGTATATCCATGATATGCTGCAAATCGGAAACATCCATTGTTATGCGGACGACAGCTTTGGTGATGTTTAATACGCCGGCCGTGCCAATATTTCTCGGGAAAACGTCGCCGAGTACCAAAACTTGTGTCTGAAGTCGATATATTGTTAAACAAAGCCTCGGATTGGGGCGACTAAATCCAATCATATTCTATCCCCAGAAGACACAATTTTGCGCGTTTACCGCTGAAAAGTACACTTTTGTCGTATCTCCTTAGTCTAAGGCACTCCTCTTGTTGCCTTAGGCAGTATCGGAATCCGCGGCGTCGACATATCGAAGGATGTGTAGTTTCTTGGTCACCTGACGGAGAAGGCCAAATTGACCTCTAACAAGCTTGGCGTGCTCAGCAGAGTGGGACAGTATTTTATGCCGGCACACCACCTGCAACTTTAAAAGATGCAGGTTTGGCTACACATGTTCCCATCACTTGGCCGGGGCTCCCTGGTGCTCCTTCCATTTAACCGTATCCGACGCAGAGCAGCTAAAATCATTGGCGATTGATTCCTCCAACTGGCTCAAATCACAGGCACTGCGAAGAGATGTTACATCTCTTTACATTTTCTATAGTATCTATCACGGGGAGTACTCTGAGTAATTGTTCGGGTTAATATCCTGCCGCCAAATTTTACGAACGCACATCGCGACAAAACTCACGATACCATCCATACCATCTGGAGGACACTTGACGGTCTACCACTGTACGTTTTACTAGGAGTTTTCTTCTTCGTGCAACTCCTCTCTGGAATTGCTTACCATCGGCGATTTTTCGGAACGATATGACTTTGGGACCTTCAAGAAAAGAGTTTACTCCTTTGTAAAAGACCGGCAACGCACCTGCAATTCCCCTGGTGTTGCAGGGTAGTCACTTTCCATCAGGTGAACATCATGCTCGTTCCCCCTCTTCTATAAAAAGGAGGCGACGGAAGTAAACTGAAACAAGATATGGGCAGCAGCATCTTCCTGTTAACATTTTTTTTTATTGAAAGTTTAAATATTGACTCTTTTGTTAGATCTGAGGAATAACACTAGCTCAAGGTATATAATACAACCAGACTGTCGTCTAAACAATTAAGTTAACAACTTTATCATCTTTTTCTGCACTTAGGGGTGGAAATTCTTCTTCAAACTGAAAATAATAAAAAAACTGCGGTTGCAGTCCCCGCCTGTTATGAATGGCAACTATGGCGAAATCCATAAAAATATGAGGGAAGGTATGAAGGAGGAGGAGGATGTTCAGAAGTTGACTTTTGAAGGCTGTTGTGAATGGGTAGAATGTGATGGGTTCAAATTACGTCTAATTTAAATAATTTAAAAAATACCATCATAAGCACGTATCATACTGGTAAATGAAATGTAAAGCCCTCCAATAGATGAAGTGATGATATGTAAATCGAAAGATGCAAGTCCTAAGTTCAGCAGTGGACATGTGAACATAAAGGGTTGCAAGAGCACACAGTTTATCTGATGACAAGTAGATGCTGCAGCCCCTATACTTCTATCCTCGATCAAGAATTAAATTTACTTAGTAGTCAGTTTCCTTTTTCGCTTAGAAGACCGTCTTGGTAGGGTACTACGCTCGTCGTAGCTGTTACTGCCGCCGTAGCAGTACTTTCACTGCTGTGCTCCGTGCTGTGCACGAAGGTACAGAGCCAGTATAGATAGACTTTGAGGCATTACATTTTAGTCCTCAGTGGTGACAGTACACTTCTTCGTTCGAAGTTGCTTGCAGAAGTCCATGGGCAAGTACCATCTTACAATCAAGAGTACTGTGATAGTTTGTCTTTTTTTCACGAAAAAAATAATACAAAAGAAAATACAGATGCATTGCCACATCTGAAGAATAAGATGGTATGCCTCGTTACCAGTAAAAAGCGCCTTAGGTTCTAATTAACAAAACACAACAGCCTTATAGTGCTATTTCACGCTGGTATTCTGTGCGAACGTGGTACTTTCTCGTTCGACCCACAAAATATAAATAAATAATTTGAAAACTATAAGAATACGCCTTTTATATAAAAACGCCTTTGATACAACATAAATATATAATAATTTTACATAAAACAGTGAAATATATTATAGTATAGCCAGTATATTCCGACAGATATTCGTACTCAAGCTCCTGAAGCTTGAACCGGCTTTTCGTATTAACACAGTTATAAGTTTTTGTTACTGTTTTGTATATAATATAAAATCTATCAAAAGTAATAGTTATTTTAAAAATTCTTTAGTGATTTTAACTGACTTTTAAATGATTAAGTACATTATGCTAGTATTGAAATTATAATAGTAACAATATATCTTCTACCTCACTAACATTTTTGGTCCACTGCTAAACACAAGTCTATAATACTTCGATGATTTGCTCTTACTCTTAATAGCGTACCTTTCTCTAGGGCCTATTACGCCAGGCGATATTTAGGCTGTTTATTCCGATTAAAACTAGTCTTATAACACTTAAAGACGTAGATATATCTACTCTTATACCAAGTGATAATCAGTGCACGGTATTTAGTTTTAAAGACTAATTAGCTAATTTTACACTTTTTTTACAGCTTGCTAGTACAGTACACTATAAAAAGTTTGGAAAATCCAAAAGTGCACGCCTCATAATCTCATTCGATTATATAAAAAGAAAAATATCTCCTTTTCCATATTTGAGACGAAAGAAGAGATCCATGAGAATATTTTTTTGTAGAAAAGTCCAGTTGTTTTTTACTTACTCAGTGGTTTTTAAAAAGAACCAAGCCAAGCCAAGCGTCCACCAAGCATCCAAAATTGACCGCTTCGATATTCCGTCAAAACTCAAGAGGTCAAATTTGACCGCACCCACCCACAGAGACTACTTTTCTATGGAGAAATTTGGCATTATAGAATCAATATGAAATTTTCTATCCTCTAGTAGAATAAAAAAACAGTTAGTCTATGAATATTAATTTATATTCTACGTTCATTACGTACGCCATTTTCATTTTTTTTTAATTTATTTATTCATCCAAATGTAAGTACATTATTTTAACTATTCTCTCGCCAAACTGCCTATTTTTTTTAAATTTGGATATTGTGTTGATTTTTTGATTTTTCTAGTGTTTTATTATAAAATTGTTATAAAAGTATTTGTGTGAATATAATTTATCTTTTTACGTAAATAATTTCGAATAATATATAGAAATAATTTTGATTTTCACGCTGCCGACATCCGCTTGGTATGTTTTTTTTTTTTTTGTTATCAAAATACAATTAAATATTTTTGTAGTGAAATAAAACTTGACTTTTGTTTAGACCACAGGATAGAAAATTTTGTTTAGATTTTATAACGCCAAACTTCTTCATAGAAAAGTAGTCTCAAAATATAGTTTTAATGGTTTAAAATGCTGGACGCATGGGATTTTTATGGGGATTGAAGGGTTAGTATCATGATACAATTTTACGATATTGTATTGTATTATTTAACTCAACTCGTATTACGTTGCTCTCAGCTCCACGCACACTCATTACTTACATACTAGTAAGTATATTAACTATATAACAGTATCGATTTCAACTTGCGTAATGAATTTTATATAAAAAATTACAATTATACAAAACATTATAATATTCGAAAATACAGTCCATTTTATTATTGTTTTAAAATTTCAGAATTATTTATACTTAATAATAATAACGTAAATAATTTAAAATAACGATTCATACGTGTCAGTAAACGTTTGGTCTATGTTTAGAAATATATTAAGTTAAAATACCTTTCCATACCATTACCACAATCCAATTAGTAACTTAAGAATACAAAAATATTTTCAGAAAATAATTAACATATTATTTAATAACAGTATTTAAAAAAAATTCAACCATTTCCATAAATAACGATACAAAAACAAATATTATAATATTTGATTACTCCTGGAAATATTCTAGGAATGTACTAAGTACTTCATGAAAATACTTATATTTCGAGTAAAAATAAACACACTTTATTCCGTTTTAAAAACAGCGTAATAAGTACGATATGATTCACTATCTAAGCACTAAGTAGGTCAATCTTGAAACTCGTTCTGTTTCAGCAGTTCACACTGTAAAAAATAGCAGTTAGTGATAGAGTTATATAAAATTAGCACTATTATTTTAATATGATTACAATAAATTTAAGGAACTGAAATAGAAAAACCAATAACTCTGCACAAATCAAATCGTTGAGAATTTACGATAAAGTAAAAATAGATGTGGGTGGCATCCTTGACTGAAGCTTTGAACTTCCTACTTGATTACAATACAGGGTTATTTTACCATGATCGGCCAAATTCGCAGAGGAGGTTCAGAATAAGTAATACAGGCAAATGGTAAAGAAAAATTAAAAAAATGTCAAACATTGTATCCTTTTTATCTTTTTAATTCCAAATGTGGTAATGCATTATTTTAATTTACTGCGCACGCACACTGCGGTTGATCGGTAGGAAAAAACGTTGTTGTATATATATATCACTTTCAAATTGGGACTATTTTAAATAAAACTGGAAGCCTTATTTACACGTATTTTAAAAAACTGCAAAAACGGTATATTATTATTTTTATATTTGAACCTAAGTTTAAAATTTGGCTAATCTTTTAAAAATAACCCTGTATAGTAATTTCAAACCGTGTAGAGGCAGTGTAAGAATGTCCACTACCCCATATAGACCCGTAGGTGACAATCTATAGGTGAGATCTATGTTCAGCAGTGGTTTTTGTAGGCTGTTATGGATGTATAAAAAAAATAATATGTGGGATTTCCATTCGCCGGTCAAACTTGTGTTAGCACCAATGGGTCGGCTCGACCGGGGAAGGACCACGCTCTCACAGAATATCAGCGTAAAATAGTAGCTTCATGTTGCTGTGTTTCGTATGGTGAGTGTAGAGAACCGGAGACGCTTTTTACTGGAAACGAGCCATTCCATCTTAGTCCTCACGGGTGACAACGCATCTGCATTTTGATTTGTAATCGAGGATAGATGTAGATGTCAATGGCCCACAGCAAATAATTACCATCAGGTGGAGTGTGTGGTCGTATGTCACCCTATCCTATAAAAAAGTGTTTGGTTGTTACCAAAAATATTTTTTACTTGTCATATTATTATGAGCTGTTTTTCTTATAATTCACAAACTGATTATCACGTTGCTTGTGGCACTCCCTAAGTGAGGCCTATTGTTCAGCAGTGGGATGATGACGATAATGATGATCATGTCTTTACGTTATTTTTAATTGGAACACATTGAGTATTTTTTAATTCATTACCCCAGCTCATCTCATTGGACGTTGAAAAAGGCAACTGTGGAAAATTCAAAGATCTAATGCCCGCCTATAGATGACAGTAAAACCATCTCGTATATGCTTAAATTAAGTAACGTAAGAGGCATGCTCATTAACAATTTGTCACCACCACCAAGTCAAATGATGCACTGCTAATAGACGAAAAAAGTTAAAAAAAGACTTATGATTGAAACTCTATCCAAAATGCCAATAACTGGTGATGTAGCATTGCTATTACGAGGGTATCGGATCGAAACTACACAAACGCGTCGCTCTGTGAGCCTATACGCTACCTTCGGTGACATCAAAATGGTAGTAGTACTTTGTAGATGTCTTCCATATTATGTACATTTTAAATATATTAATAAGTGAAATGAAGCAATACTGTTGGTGTTACGAAAAAAAAATAACCAAATAAATGACGATCACATTGCGTACTCTATACAGCTTTTCTATAACAGTTACCGCGACTTATAAAACATACGACGTAATTTACTACAAACTGACTATCATATGATGTCAACGAAGTTACCAAGTTAGGCCTGGAGAGCTTAAGTTTATGTAAAAGCTTATTTCGATTAAAAAAGGATTATTGATCCTAGATGTTAAAAAATCAGATCGACGATAGAAAGCGACTGTTTTCTATCGTTGTCTCTAAGGTGTAAAACATGTAATTGCTTTAAAAGGAAACCTTTATCACAGCATATCTTAATTCTCATTGAATGTCCATCAACTAAATAAAAAGAGAAACAAAAATAATAAATATTTAAAACACCACTATACCAACCTGGTTTCGGCCATTGGCGGTTAAGCAATCTACATCCAAGGCAAGAAGCGTACAGTATGATTTCAGAGTACAGTGTTTGTGTCCATCTAGAAAAAAACTAGCAACTGAACTAAACTACTAGATGATTGATTGAAGCTAAAATCATGCAAGCTCGCTCATAATAATAACCATAACTACATATAAGATACATATTATATAAACATAATTACATAAAGACGTATATATATATATATATATATATATATATATATATATATGTGTGTGTGTGTATGTATATATATACAAAATATATAAATTAATACATATATTCATACTACTTCCTATACATATACATACATAATTAAATACAGCATTTTCTAATTTGAATGATATATTAGAGTGGAAAATGGAAAATATAAATGTAATAAACCTGCAATGTCAGAAAATCATTCCAGAGCAAGCGTTTGAACGATGCCTTGCTCGCAGCTACGTGTACAATGCTTGGTATTTAATATGAGAGACAATAAAGAATAATTATTATGTGGAGTATGCCAAACAAAAGAGATTTTTTATGTTTACATAAAAATAATCAGACGTATAAATATTTTTTATTCACTAATTTCCGGACGATTGGCAACAGCCATTAACAACACATTTTAAGCGCAATTAACGCGTATTTTTTTAAAGATAGTACAGTATTTAGTTATAAATAAAATATAAATGTAAACTATAAAAAGTAACTGCATGAAACACATAATATACAACAAACAAAATATTAAAATTCTGAAAAAAAAAGTCTAGTTTCACTCATAGACATGCCTTAGTGTACAAGGAAAGTAAGAAAAGGAGTACAAGGAACCTATTATAAATCCAATTTTAAGAGGTTTTCCCATTTTCCCGCTTTCACTAAACTACTGAATACAGTATCTACGAGGGTGGATTGAAAAGTACTCGGCCTAACCAAGAAAATAAACACATACTAAATCAGTTATATTTTTATTTTTCTACATAATCACCATCAAGTTCAATACACTTTTGCCACCTCCCCTTCCAAGCATTTAGACCGTTGAAAAAAAATGATTCTTCCTTAGAGTCAAAATATGCGTCTACAGCTGCTTTGACCTCGTCGTTTGTCGAAAATCTTTGACCTCCCAAGTGCTTTTTTAGGTTAGGGAACAGAAAAAAGTCTGATGGTGCCAGATCAGGTGAATACGGCGGATGCGGTAACAGTTCAAAGCCACAGTTGTGAATTTCAGCCATTGACTGTACTGACGTGTGAACACGGGCGTTATCTTGATGAAACAGGACTTTTCTTCTGAGCATTCCTCGACGTTTTTCTTTTATTTCCTCTCGTAAACGACGTAGTAAGGTGCAGTAGTAATCAGAGTTTATAGTCTGACCCCTTTCAAGATAATCAATCATAATCACACCTTTCGAGTCCCAGAATACTGAAGCCATCACCTTATTTGCCGACAAAATCGACTTAGCCTTTTTAGGGGGTGGTGAACCAGGTCTTCTCCACTGTTTTGATTGTTGTTTTGTTTCCGGTGTACAGTAATGAACCCATGTTTCGTCCATAGTAACAAAACGATTCAAAAAATCATCTGCATCGGCTTCAAATAACTCCAAACAGTCGCGTGACATAGTCAATCGCGTCCTTTTTTGTTCAACTGAAAGCAGTCGCGGAACCCACCTCGCAGACACCTTGTGGAAACCCAACTCGTTGACAATGATGTTTTGAGTTCGTTCATAAGAGATGCCTATAATCTCGGCTATCTCTCTAATTTTTAATCTGCGGTCTCCCATTATTAAATCAAGTACTTTTTTAATATTTTCGTCAGTAGTTGACGTCGAAGGCCTTCCAGAGCGGGGTTCATCTTTCACACTCTCTCTACCACGCTTAAATTCTGCTATCCATTTTTTTGACGGATGAATATGACAGAGCACAATCGCCTAATGTACTGATCATATCATCATGGATGGCTTTTGATGATAGCCCCTTCTTATGGAGGTACTTAATGACGGCACGCTGCTCGATTTGCTCCATTCGCGGAAATTATGTCCGATTACTTTGTTAATAAATTTATAAAATCACAACTAATTATCGCACACGTTTCGAACTTCACACAATGAACTAGTCTGAACTGAACTAAATAATGTGGGTAGATTTGATTTTTAGAATTGAATGGATCTGTGTTAGGCCGAGTACTTTTCAATCCACCTAGTAGTAATAACTTAAGTGTATATGTCTTCATTCATAATTTTAGTGTTAGTGTTAATATAAGGATAATAATAATAATAAATAAATAAATAAATTCACTAAAATAAAGATATAACAAGCTTATGTTTACCATAATTTTTGCACATCACACCATACTTACTTGTATATCAGTTTTTTCCTGGTTGGAAGCTCTTAATCTCGCGGCGAGTGGCGGTGTGAATAATGCCGGGTCAGGGTGACTCTTACCCGCTCGTTGCCATGGTTGGGGACTTTTTATTGCCAGAGATACTAACGAGCCCACTAGCATCACCCACACGAATCCAATCTACAATCATTACAGTTTATTAGAATATATGACTCCTAATAATGTCCTCGCCAATTTCGACCACCTTCATTTTACTTTATTCAAAACATAAGTAGTTATCGAATTTAACGAAATCACAATCAGATGTTTAATATCCAACTATGCACTGAATGATTTCTTTTAGAATCGATATTATTAAATTTTTCTTAAGATATTGCCAGACAAAGAGTTCACTATTCACGTATATACGTGTAAGTATCGCTTACGCTTCAAGTAATATGTACTTTCAACCGTCTCACTCACACAGAAGTATCGGACTATACTCAATATGTCGAAATTCGAACTTGAAATAATAACTTACTGGGCTGGTCCACATATACGATATTCTATACAAATAGAAGTAGCTGCTAGGATCAGTCAGGTGTGGCGTAGCAAGAGTAATGTTTTTCGCGCAATTCTCCACTGCAACTGGAAGTTTTATCGGTGCAGGACGAGGTCCACCAAAACTCATCCACAAGGTAAATGCCATTCCACTAAGCAATGCGAAAGAAGTTCCCTGAAAACAATTTCTATAAAAACACTGAGCCTCATTCTTTCTTCATAATCTGCGATCTTTAATATCATAATTTGCGAGCAACCCGAGTTCGACTAGTATTCGCCGGCACTAATGATATTTTTAATTACAATTTTAAGTGCTAGTTTCTCCCGTGTTATTCGGTGAAAGAAAATATCTTTTTTTATAGGAGAAGGATGACAAACGAGCACACAGTCCACCTGATGGTAAGTGGTTGCTGTGGCCCATAGACATCAACATCTGTCCTCGATTACGAATTAAAATGCAAATGCGTTGTCACCCGTAAGGACTAAGATGGAATGCCTCCTTTCCAATAAAAAGGGTCGTGGGTTTTCTACACAGTACACATATACGAATCACAGCAGCGTTAAGCTGCTATTTTACGCGGGTATTCTGTGAGAGTGTGGTTCTTCCCGGGTCGAGCCGACCCATTAGTGCTGCAACTTTACTACTAAAGCTTTACCACGAGGAAACCTGAAAGTTTGAGAAATTAAAAAATAGCGTTTCAAGGTCATGTAAAGCCCGCCAATTCGCATTCCGGTTTTACTAAAACTGGAATACCGCTGAAACTATATTATTTTCGTAGCAGTCAATTTGTGCTGCTGCGATGCATTGACATTAAATTGAATTGATGGTAAATGTCCACTGCAACCCGTGAACACCAGCCACCGACTTCAAATAAAGAAAGAAGGTTACAGATGCGTTGTCACCTCTGGAAACTAGTTGTGTGCCTCATAGCCTATAACTACGCTGGCTTTCTATACCTTCCGTCTATACTTTCCGTAAGTAAAAGCAACTTCCATTAAAAATAATAATACAGGAAAATGATTTCGACCTAACTTTACGATCAGTGATACGAATCAGTGCACAATACTTACTACTTCGTTAGCGAATGTAGTGAACATTCCGAGAGTGAATACTCCAAGCAACGGCCCACCAACCGCACCGAAAATGGTCAGAGACGCCTGAAGTAGCCCGCCGAGGAACTGCGCAAGAAATGCCAGCGCCAGAAACAGTAATCCGAAGGCACACGCTGCCAACTTAGTCAGCCATGGCACATACGATGGATTCAATACGAACCATCTAAAATTATGACGACGATGAAATGATATGGTAATGTAGTTGTTGAACGCTTGGTTGCGGCACTGCGCCACGATTTTGTCTGAATGTTTTTACATGTACAATTTATGTATTTTATACGTGGTAGAGCCATGCTGCAGTTAAATTAGTAGTATAGTTGTAGTACGAATGGGTCGGCTCGACCGGGGAAGGACCACGCTCTCACAGAATACCAGTGTCAAATAGTAACTTAATGCTGCTGTGTTTCGTATGGTGAGCGTACAGAACCGGAGACCCTTTTTACTGGCAACGAGGCATTCCATCTTAGTCCTCACGGGTGACAACGCATCTGCATTTTGATTCGTAATCGAGGACAGATATAGTCTATGGGTCACAGCAACCACTTACTGACTGTGTGCTCATTTGTCACCCTAACCTACAAAAAAATGTATGTAAAACGCTTCCACGATACAGGAAAATTTTTAAGTCTGAAACTCCTGACAATACAATTTTTCAAATTCAAATTCTTCAAACAAACACATAAGCGAACTTACTAGTAGCCGATATAACGCAACGATAAGATTGCATTCACACTAAAAACAAAACAAACCATTTGTGTTTTAGAGTCGATGTTGGTTTGCTTTCGGTTTGGTTTCTACTATAAGAATGTTTATTGCACAGTAAACAGTTACTTTGAAGTGGTCATGTGCCTAACTATTACCTTTTTATAGAATAAGATTGACAAATAAGCACACAGTCTACCTGATGGTAAGTGGATTCTGTAACCTGCTATTTTACGCTAGTATTCTGTGAGTGCGTGGAACTTTCCTGTTTGAGCCGACCTATTCACACTACAACTATTATATACCTGAAACATGGCTCTACCACGTTTAATCACCTTTCAATGACACTATTCTTCCTTCCGTACATGTCTTAAAAGTGAACTGAAAATTTATTGCTATTTGTTTTTATAGCAGGTCTTAAAAAACTTATAGCTAAAATTTAAATTATTGAAGGTTTCGGTTCAGACTACTGTCTTTAAAACGTTCGAATTAGAAATACAAGTAAACGAACTTGGTAAATCCTGGAATAATGTTTTAAAATAGAAAATTTTGCTGTCTGCCATACCTGCCAGCATAATCGGTGAGAGTGACGGCAGCAAGCGCGTTGCACGCCGCCGATACCGTGGACAGGGAAGCACTAAATATGCCCGCCACGAATAGTCCCGCTAAACCAGGTACCGTGCGCATGGCATCTACCACGTAGTATGGCATCAATTGATCTATCTGATGAAAAACAATGAAATTCAAAGTTTAATAGTTTTAGGAACGTATACATTTGCTTATAAACTTATAATTAAATATTACATTTACAAATATACCTAGGCTGGTTAAGAAAGACTTCAAAAATCAAGCTCACAATTCAGCTGATTTTTTTTAAATTTGTACTGTTTGTTTTTTTAATACAATATCTACCTCTGAAGGACACAATAATAAAGCATTATATATATACACTGGCCTCCAAAAAATTGTCCCACCCGTTAATTTTGAGTAACAAATTTGTTATCTTGAGTATGCGTTGACATATTTTTATATTTTTACTTATGCGTTATAAATTAACATCTGAGTACCCACTTGACATTGTTTTATAGGAATACAAGTGCTATTGTGGGTATGTAGTAAATTATGGTTATTGGTTTGTGATGTATGGCTTAATCTTTAATTCTTTGTTGAAGCAGACATATCGTTACTTTTAAATATTTGAAGGGGATGTGGGGTAATTTGTCGGATACAAGGTTGATTTCTTTGCGAAATCGGCATCTTTCTGCTGTTGATGTTCAGGGTAGGCCGAAGGAAACTCGTGGAGAGTCCGTAAGTGTGAATATGGTGAGAAGAAGACTTCGGGAGCAAAACCTGATACCACACAAGCCAGCGACGGGACCAAAACTCACTGCATATCATCAGCAAGCAAGGTTAGAATTTGCTAGGCAACACGTGCAATGGAATTTTGGTCAATTGGAGACAGTTACCTTCAGCGATGAAAACCAAATGACACTTGTAGGCTCTGATGGACGTCGTAACGTTATGCGAAGACTAGGAGAACGTTATGCGAAGACCAGGAGACCGTTATGCTCAGTGTTGCATAAGAGAAACAGTCCGGTTTGGTGGAGGCTCTACAATGTTTTGGGGTGGCATATCTTTAACCAGACGTACTGAGTTGTTTTTCTTACGCTATCGTGCGATCAATGCTGAAAGTTACATTACGAACATTTTGCAACCTCATGCCTTACGCTGGGTATATTGGGGATAATTTTCAACACATGCAAACGCAAGACGCGTCGCTAGAATTGTAACTGGATATATTCAGGAGGTCGGAATTCCAGTTATGCAGTGGCCAGCTAATAGTCCGTTCTTAAATCTCATCGAGCATCTCTGAGACCAGATAAAAAGAAAGGTTAGAGCCCGACATCCAGTTCCCGCGACGTTAGGTTAATTGGAAGCCGCCTTAACAGAAGAATGGGAACGGACACCCCAAGAAAACATAAAAAAGCTGATCCGTTCCCTTAATAAGCGTATGCAGGCGGTAATAAAAGCAAAAGAAGGAAACATCTCATATTATGGTAACCGTACGTTTGCACTGATAAACATCCAACACGTAATATTTTGAAACAAATCGCATAAAATAAATCACACAACATGTTTTGTTGATGGTAGCGTTCGCACTCACACTGTGTAAAATTTTCTACAGATATTCAAACTTATCTTTCAACATGACAATATTTGCACAAATTTATTTTCAAACATTTTGTTTCTGTATTTATAAAGATATAATATAGTTAAAATATGTAAAGTACAATAACATTGACATTGACAGAAAACAGTGTTTAAAACATGTTTTTGTGAAAATCGCGTCAGTTCAAACTCACGGTAAGGTTTACATTTTTTTAAATGTCAAAAATGTAAATATCGATATTCACAGTAAAATCGTAAATTTTGTAAAATGAATAATAAAATATCCCATGACACGCACCGATTTTTTAGTTTTTTACAACCCTATAATTGCACTATTACATTATCAAGATATCTGTCGATTGTGATAAAAACCCACAGGATACTTTTTGCGAAAAAACGTAGGTGGGTCGATTTTTTGGAGGCCAGAAAATGAAGACAAACGATAGTATTGAGGATACCTTTAATGATTGCAACTCTTTCTTTACAAAAAAACTTTAGAGCAGTTCATTCTGTTTAAACTTATTACGGGAGTTTAAAAATTGTAAATAAATATATAAACATATAATTTTACAAATAATGCTTCAATAATATCATACCGCAGTGATTTTGTGACTGGCGAAAGGGTCACAGTCCTTATAAACAGCGAATATTGCTAATCCACTTATACATGTGACCACGCTGAGCGTAGTTAACACGGGCCAATTCCACCAAAGGCATAACTGCGACCGTTCCAAGGTCCTCACTGTTAAAAGTCGTTGTACCTGAATAAATACAGAGTGATATTATAAATATATAAACATAACTGTTGTGACGTTAGCTCGTTAGCGTCGCGCTAACGTGATTAACTGTATACTTGAAATATATTTTAACAGCGACGCACCCGAGCTTCGAACGGGTGTGTTTTGGATCTCGACAACATAATATGCATTTACGATACATATAAACCTACTCCTTCAATCATTCTGTCTATTGATAAAAACCGCATCAAAATCTGTTGCATAGTTTAAAAGATCTAAGCATACAGACGGTGGGAAGCGACGTTGTTTTATATCATGTAGAGATTGCCATATATCATGCTCCCTTGATCTACCTATCTATTTTCTGTGATGTAAGTGCTGTTAGACCAGACGGCTTTAATAACTTCATCTGATAACTCCCTTGATCGGGCTCCCATCACCAGTCTAAGCATTAGTAGTATATTTGGACATCTACTTGACGAAATGTCAAATGGCTATTACGGCTATACGGAAAGATAATCATATTGTCCTCGTTATTAAATTTTAACAATAGTCATGGAAGAAAGTAGACACAGAGGCACAGAATTAAAAAAAATAGTTGCGTCGTTATAAAGGATCACAAAAATTAATAAAGCCTTGTAACTGGAATTCTGTTCCATGAGAAAACGATTTTCTCTATTTAACTTTCCCGGAATATTGGTGTTGCGAGTAGTGGTGCCGGGAGTAGTGGTGTTGGGAAGGATTAGTGGTGACGGGATTGGTGCATGCAATTGAGAGAGGGCGGAAGGTACTCTTCAATCCAGGTAAGACACATCATTGTATTTAGTTAGCGGAAGGTTGCAAATTAATTAATGTCTTTATTATAATGGATTTCCGCAAAGTAACGCCTGATTCTATCAATTTTCTCTGCTTTCTCATCGGTCCGTAAACAATCCTCTGTATACCGCACGTATGGATCTCTCTTCTATAACAAGGTAATTTGGAAACCTTAAAGGTTTCCAAATGCTGTCCTTGAAACAGGGTTACGTCGATAACGCTGCTAATTTGTTTTGTTTATTATTTAATATTTCGGACGTCATGTTTCCTTACGATATTTTCCTTCGGCTCAAAACACCTAGTGAAATAGCCACTTGAGAATGCAATTAATAATATCATTTGTAGTAGCCGGAATCAAACTCTGAACTTTCGCAAGCTACGATAGCTTTTGTTGTTCACCCTGCTGACTATGAACACGATTAGAAAACTTACAAATGATTATATATCTACTCGGGAATTCTATACTCAAATCCCATATACTAGAATTCTACATTTACTTGCTTACCGGACGTGAATAATTTAAACGAGCAAAACTTTCATCCATAAATTACTTGAAGGGATGAATAAAAAAATGGGACATAAGTGACTTTAGCATTTAAAAAGATCGGCTACAGCAGGTTACAATATTAGAGGCCTGAGGTTGACAGGCAAGGTGGTACAACGTGACAAACTGTGCAATCAAATTTTTTGACTAAGTAGTCATTCGATCATTCTAATCGTTTTACCGCTGAAAGAAAAGACAATGCAATTCATCCAATAGCTGCTAATAGCTGATTCGTTTGTTATTCCAAAAAAGAGTTTTCATAAATGATTTCTTATATTTACGCGAACACTATACATGATTAAAACTACTTTTACGGATTTTATCGCGTTTATTTTTACTTTTTATTTACTTTTATTTTTAATTCCCGACGTTTCGGGCGCTTTCCAGCACCCATGGTCACGGGGGACTGAGATGACTGACGTCCCGATGTCATTGTTAAACCCGGAGTACCTTCAGCTTTTTTAATTATTGTTCATGGTCCGATCTATGCAAAATGAACTGACTATGTCCTGAGGTCTTGCAGTGGTATGCTTGGGTTTAGTTTTAATTTTATTGATTATAGGATCCCAAGCAGGTGGTAGTACCCAGCCTCCTTCTCTATTGAAATTAGGATGTTTTTTAATTTCAATAGCCTCACGTATCATCCTTGGTAGGAATCGGTGTTCTTTCGCGAGGATTTGTGGTCTATCAAATCTGATGTAATGGTTGGGTCCGTCTAGGATATGATCACAAACTGCAGACTTCATAAAGTAAAAAGTTTTCATAAAGTAAAGTTTTCATAGTAATAAAAACAGTTTTTAAAATATAATACAAAGAAATGTTTACTTATAACATGCTGATATCATTATATATTTATAGACTTATTGAAATTACCTGCGTGTGATTAACAGCATATAGTGATAAATATGTTACAAGACCTCCTATGATTAAGGACCACCATGTATGGCGCTCTGTGGGATCAGCACTGAAACTGTAAATGACAATTATAACTTAATGCAATTCATAGTATTATGGTTAATAAAGGTTGTAAATTGTGTATAAATAAAAACTTACTGGGAAAAATCAAGTCGTCCTCGTTCCCGGGCAATCACAAATATTTGATCAAACCCACCTAATTGCACTGATGCAAATATTACTACACTCAAAACTGCCCCAAACATCAGAAAAGATTGAAGCAGATCAGTAAATAGCACCGCTTTCATCCCACCTAATGTAGAGTAAAAGGTACAGACCAAGCCCACGACCAATATTGATATAAGCCTGTCTAAACCCGTTACTGCTTCTAACACTATCGCTGGAGCATACAATACGATCCCATTATACAAAATCATCTGTAACGTATACGTGAGCGACGCCAGCATTCGTATCCGAGGTCCGAAACGTAGTTCCAAATACTCGTAAGCGCTAGTTTTCTGCAGCCCAAAAAATACTGGCAAATAAAGACGACTAGCGATCGGTGTCGCAAGGCCATATGAAATATTAATAACTACAAATTGCATGCCATAGTAATAATTTTCTGAAGAGACTCCTAAAAGCGTTATGGCTGACATAAAAGAAGCCATTAGTGATACCGCCACGGGGAATATAGACATATTCCGATCAGCCATCAAGTATTCCTGTGAAAGAAAAACTATTATAGGTATTTATACTAATCATTAAGTTGTATCAACAATTATTGTAGATGTTAACGAACCTCATTGGTTTTTTGTTTGCCTCCACTAAATCGGAAATATAAGCCGATGGCAACCGATGCAATCATTGTTGCTGCCATTATAATATAGTCCCACAGACCAAACACTGTTTGCTCCATTTTTATCTGAAAGTAAAAGATTTCCAATATTTAAGTACTGTTTCAAACATGCTATAGACAAAAGCAGAAAACAGAGAAATCTGACATTACGAGTATAATTATAATATGTTTATTTTATTTTATATAGAATAAGGGTGACAAGCGAGCACACAGTCCATCTGATGGTAAGTGGATGCTGTGGCCCATAGACATCTACTTTTATCCTCGATTAAGAATCAAAACGCAGATGCGTTGTCACCCCTGCGGACTAAGATGGAATGCGTTGTTTCCGGTAAAAAAGGGTCACCTACCATCAAGTGGACTGTGTGCTCGTTTGTAACCCTTATTCTATAAAAGAAAATCAAAATGCAGATGCGTTGCCAGCCCTGAGGACTGAGATGGAATGCCTCGTTTCCAGTAAAAAGGGTCTCCGATTCTTTCAACTCACCATACGAAACACAGCAGCATTAAGCTGCTGTTTTACGCTGGTATTCCGTGAGAGCGTGGTCCTTCCCCGGTCGAGCCGACCCATTCGTGCTGCAAGCTGTAAGTAGCTGGAGCACAGCTCTAGCACGTGCTGCGTGATTATCCATTTAATTTAACAAAAATTTGAGTAAGTAATAAATATAAGAAAGTTGCAGTATGCGTATGATTTTGGATTTTTTAGCTCCCGAATATTTTTCAATTTGTACCTATATGGAGCCGTGGTAGCTCAGATCGTTAGCGCTCGCTGTAAATTTTACAATACGCGAGCAAACCGGGTTCGATCCCCGCCGGCACCACTGAAATTGTTAAATGCAATTTTAAGTGCAGATTTACCAGGTGCTTGACGGTGAAGGAAAACATCGTGAGGAAACCTGCATGTCAGAGAAATAAGAAAAAAATATTTCGAAGACATGTGAAGTTCGCCAACACGCATTGGGGCAGCGCGGCGGACTATTCCTTCCCCTAAAACCCTCTCAGAAATGAGAGAATGCCTGTGTCCAGCAGTGGGACGTATATAAGCTGTAACTTTTGTAGCTATATATATGTTTTAGTATAACCGTTACCGTTACCGTTACAAAAGTCCACTGCTGAATATAGATTACTCATAGAGCAGAGATATCTACCATAGTTGCCACGCTTGGCAGGCTGGTTAGAAACCTCGGTGTTTTATTTTTTGTTATTAGCAAGACGCAGCCGCACATCTCCAGATTTGTTTTCCTCTCGCGCCTCTTACGACACCCACGGAACGATATGGGGTAGTGATTATCCTTACACCGTTTCTACTCGGATAGTTATGGCCGTGGAATAGCCATGTGAATCTACACAAGGTTTTGTCAACCCATGAACTATTTTAAAACATAAATTGTATCTGCTTTCGAATACATGCATTAAACAGGGGCGATCTAGCCGGTCACATCTATTCCACTATGTGCACATGCAGAGTTGGCACTCGGTTGTGTTTGTCAATGTCCGATCCAATGTTTTTGAGCACGGGTAGCGGACAAGCTTTATTAGGCAGTTAGATCTATATCTGAATCTCGACATACATAAGCGAATGCGCTCGCCAGGCAAATAGAATAGGCAAGATATTTATGTCAGGTAAATCTGTACTCGAATGGCTGGCTTTTGACACGGTGGTCGTGCTTAAAGTAACGTATAACGGACTCAACTTTCGCCCAAAATGTTTTAATACTCAAAGGCCCAAAAGCATTATAAGTCATTATTTCTTTGTCTTGACGTATAGTGATTGTCTCTAGTGTCTGATAAATATCAGTACGTAATGACAATATACGAGGCTATTCTTTCAGGAGAATAAACTTATCTCACGCTACAACTATATATAAATGAAATTGTAGGTATTAAATTTGAATGATATGGGATTGAGAAGTTTGATAACTATCATATTCATTTTATCAAAATCAACAAGCCTACGACTTGTTATCAGTTTCTATTACCATGTTATAATCTCAGACGAAAAATATTTAATCTGAGGTTATAATATTTGTATAAATACGTACACCATGACCTTTTTTAATTTTTAATATGAATAATCGTCGTTAGTTAATTAAAGATAACATTAACACTTACGCCTGTCACCTAAAGCGGTAGGAAGAGACAATGGACTTCCAATTGGCAGGACCTTGACACACATACCTACACACAAAGATTTAACGATTCAAATCTTTGGCTACGCATACATGCTCGACAATTATGCGTACTTTTAATATAACATAAATTTGCTTTGTCACCCATTTCTAATTCATTCTTTCTCATAACCATACCTCCAAAGCATTCCTTTCTTAAACCTAGTTACAATATCTTCTTGCAAACAACACTTTTCTGTTATCACACATCGTCTATACCTACTACTATCATCAAAGTCACACTTACATACTTCCTAGACCTCATTACTTCTGCATGAATGCTACATGATGTTTAAAGATTGTCTGGAAGAAATTGCTTTAAGCGATAAGATCGCCCATTATACTCGTATGTACTACATTTTAACATTTTGTATTTTATTTTTTCTGTATTAAAATATATATTTAATTTAAAACTCCATATCAGAGAGTTCTTTATGATAGATGGAATCCAAGACACCACATATATTTACTTGGTAGAACTACGTTACAGCTATATTTAAGGCTGCAGCTCGAAAATATCGACTCGAAGAAGTTCGGACCATGTTCTCACAAAATACCCAACGTGAAACAGCAGAATTCAAACGTGGTAGAGCCGTACTGCAGCTATAATATATATATATTATAATTATAGCACAAATGGGTTAGCTCGACCGTGGAAGGATCACGCTCTCACATAATATTGGATTTACACATGAAATTAGCGTTTTGTCGTACTGACCACTTTGATCCGAAATATCTCCTCTTTGGTTAAGAATTCCAAATTCAAATTTATAAATTCATTTAGCTGGTACATTTGAGTTTTGGAAAGAGTCATTCATTTGTTTTTTCCCCATTATTTTTTTACTTTGGCGTCGCTTATTACCGCTTATTACCGCACAATGGAAAACATGAAATATCGGTATATTTACGAGACGACTTCTACCACGGCACCAGTGCTGCAGAAACAGCTCGAAGGATTAATGATGTGTAAGGCGCTGGTGTCGCAAAAGAAAGCCCGGTACATTTTTGGTTTCATCGTTTTCTTTCTAAAAATTTTGACCTTCAGAACCAACCCCGTGGACGATCGGAGACAAAAGTGGAAAATGAAGAATTAAAGGCTATTGTGGAAGCGGATCCATCACAAAGCACTTCAGAGATAGCTGCAGGCTTTGGGGTAAGTGATAAAACTGTATTAATCTACTTAAAGCGAATCAGGAAAGTAAAAAAACTTGAACGATGCGTACCTCATGAATTGAGTGAATCGAACTTGCAAACACGCGTCGACTGCTGTGTTACTTTGCTCAACCGACACAAAAATGAAGGGATTTAAATCGAATCATTACTTGTAATGAAAAGTGGATACTGTACGATAATCGGAAGTGCTCGTCACAATGGCTAAACCCTGGAGACCCAACCAAATCCTGGCCTAAACGAAAATTGACTCAGAAAAAGTTACTTGTGAGTGTTTGGTGGACTAGCGCCGGTGTCGTTCACTACAGCTATGTAAAATCTGGCCACACGATTACGACAGATATCTATTGTCAGCAACTGCAAACCATGAAGGAAGAACTAGCTGCTAAACAACCGAGATTGGTTAATCGCTCTAGGCCACTGCTGCTTCACGACAACGCAAGACCACGCACAGCACAACAAACAACTACTATAAGTTCGGCCGTTCAGAGAATGCGTTCCTGACACCTATCAGTTAGTCACGACTAGTGATGGGCACAACATAACACTGAGTTCGTTACCGTTCCTCCAAAATGAACCGCCGCGTTATTTTTAAGATTATTTTCGTTTTAAATTGGCGGAATCATTTAAAATTTATATTTTAGTAATTTAAGTGGAAACCAAAAAAAGGTAATATTAATATAATAAAATTGTTTTATTTATTCTTTGTTACAAAGTTACAATCTGTATTTCTATGCAATAAAGTACATTGAATTGAATGTGCGTACAGAATATTAATCAGACTCCGATTCGCTTGAGGAGGTGGTGTCTTCATCATCAACAGAATCAATCCTGATATCTCGGTCAAAATGTTCCACAATCAGGTTTTTAGTCTTCTCAACAACCTTTGCCCAGTCATCTCTTGTGACTTCCCCGCAGGCTTCTTTTAATAGGGTCATCATCTTTTTCGTACTGAATGGCGGGGAAGTATTGTGGCGGGCGGCGTAACCTTTTATTTGAGCCCAGATTAGCTCAATCGCGTTATATTGGCAATGATACGGTGGAATTCTTAGAATGCGATGACCGTACTCCAGAGCCAGTTCATCGATTTCGTATCGCACATTTGCCGCTTTATTTTCTTTAACTAATTTAATTAGCTCTGGTTTTAGCATCTGCATATTTGCGTCAATGCCTTTTGCTTGTAACCAAGCCACCATTTCTTCTTTATTATTAGCTTGGGTAGGTGGTTTCTGTATTTGAACCGAGTGATAGGAGGCATTATCCATGAATATTACAGAAGGCTCTGGTAGGCTGGGCAAAAGCACGTTCTGGAACCACTCTTTAAATGTAGTGGCATTCATTTCCTCGTGGTAGTCATTTGTGGTTTTTGATTGAAATGCCAGTAACGCGTTCTCCACAAAGCCGTATTTTGCAGAACGTGCGTGGCATATTATCAGACGGGCCGCCTTACCCATTGGTACTTTCGACGTCGACGCTTGTGTATCATCCGTCCAAGAACGGGAAACCGTGTGATTGGCGTTTAGCCATGTCTCGTCAATGAACACGACATTATCCCAGTTATCAATATTTTTTGCTTCTCTCAAAAAACTTATCCGTTTTAAAATTATGTCGTATCGTTCTAATAAAATTTTTCTTTTATCTGTTTTTTTATACAAAAAAACCTTTTCTTTTAAGATTTTGGTTAAAGCAGTTTTACCCCCCGCTAAACAGTCCAGCTTCTCTTAGCGA